CACATTTACGACATAATTATTAGAAATAATAATAACAGTAAGTTTGTTTCAAACAGTATTGTCGATTCAGTTTGGAAACTTTAGCATGTTATAGATTATTGGGTCTAATGTTCTGTTGATATAGTATAGTGAGGGGAAATACGAAGTTAACAGTCATAATACAGCTTAAAATTATGTCCACACTTATGAAAAAAATAGATAAATAAACAAACCGATAAAACTGAGAGGATTGTAAATATAAGAAATACAATAACAATAAAGTATGATGCTTTAAAAGTGAAGGAATTGGTTTATTTAGTGGTGCTAAGAAGGTTAGTTAGTTCATTTCTGACGTTATTTTCATCATATAAAGTACGTGCTAAATAGGGTATAGTGGAATTTTTATACTTAGACGAACGTGCATAAAGTCTTCTGAAAAGACTTCTCGTTTTACCTGAGGAGACACAAGGTTGGAGCTGCAGGCAGAGTGGGTGCTCAGAGTCTGACAAAATTCCTTTAGCGAATTTGTTGCATGACATCAAGTGCCTATCAGTGACAATGTCAACGATATGGCCCAATGGGATACCACTCGTCCTACTGACAGTCTTCAGAGTTCTACGAAGTATGACATAGTCCTTTTTAAGCAAACCAGGAAAGAATAAGGGCGAACAATAAAGAAGAATAGGCAAGATGCAAGAGTTTATGAACTGTAAGAGGAGGGGTTGAGATATACCCGAGTGCCCAAACTTCTTAATGTAAAAAGTCAAACGAAATATTCTTTTAGAAATCGCTAAGACATGAGAGGACCAGGATAGGTCAGAAGAGAGAATTAATCCAAGATACTTAATTTCAGACTTGGTTTCTATATCAGTATCATCGGTTTTGCAAGGGTCATAGGAACCAACGGCTTCATTTAACTTTCGTTTACATCGGAAACTGAAATTAACAGTCTGACATTTGGAAGGATTAAGTTTAAGGCCGTTAGACGAAGATCATTTGCTAATTCCTGATGGAAAGTCGTTTATCTTAGTACAGTCAAGCTGAGAGTTAACAGACATTGAAATAGTTAGATCATCGGCATACTTAACAAAGTTCATTTCATCAGAGTAAAGCAAGTCATGCAAGAAGAAAGAAAACAGAAAAGGAGAAAGGACAGCGCCTTAAGGCATTTTCATATGTCCAACGTTATTAACACCTAGATTTAAATGAATATACTTCTTTCTCAACAAATAACTATCATGAATGAATAAGGCTCATAAAAGTTTACGAATTAGTCGCAGTAAATATGATGATAATCATGACGAGTTGATGTAATTTGTCGTCTAACTTACAACCACTAACTATGTCGTATATCATGGGCTAGTAAGGATATCAGTAGCATTACCCATCTCAAACTTTATACACCTACGGTGTGGTGGATTGGATACACACACACTCAGGTAACTTTTGAGTGAAGCCACACGCTAGACAGACTCTCAAGTTGAACCCGAATGGGAAGCAAGCGACGAGTTGGGCGTCTGAGAGTAATATGGAGGGGGAGGGAAATGAAGGCTTATGCGGTAATCAATCGTAGAAGCGGCTAAAAAGAGTGAAAATGTGGTGTGCTGCTGAGCTGAAGCCCCGAGTTGTACTTGGAATCCAGGGGAATAATAATCATAATTCAAGTGTTGGTTTGTAGGGATTTGATTGGTTGCAGGATTTTCATCATGAGCTGACATTAGTTAGAGAACCATTGGAAAACCTGGGAGTACTGGACAGCTGTTTCGTCCTAGTTCGGGACTCTTCAGCAGTATGCACCCACCGGGATTCGAATCCAGGACCTTCTGGTTACAAGGCGAGCTCGTATATCATTAAGCCATTGGGACCCGATCCAATGGCCCATGAATTCTAACTTCTACCAATGGCTTAATAATATACGAGCTCGCCTTGAAACCAGAAGGTCCTGGATTCGAATCCCGGTGGGTGCATACTGATGAAGAGTCTCGAACTAGGACGAAACAGCTGTCCAGTACTCCCAGGTTTTCCAATGGTTCTCTAACTAATGTCAGCTCATGATGAAAATCCTGTAAATAATCATAATTGTTTTATATGTGTGTACATTAAATTTGCCAAACGGAAATACAATTAGTAAGTTTTTTTTTGGTGGAGTTACATAATACAAAAGGCGTTCAGATGAATTGGATGTTGATATAAGAGGTTAGTAACAAAAGGGATGAGTTGTCACAAACGATTGTTAAAGAAGAGTTACGTAACAACATGAATATTTTGATGAAAGAGTTGTACTCAGGATGTACATGGAAACAAAATAACACACGAAATGACGTAAGAGTTTTGAGTAGTTAGAAAAAATAAGCAAACAAGCAAAAGTTAAGTCAAGTCAACACAGTTGTTACCATGATAGTAGAATTGGTTGAATAATTTTCTATTGTATGCATAGTTCTGGTTCTTCTAACTGAATAGCTAGGGCTTCTGCAATGCAAAGAAGACGGAAACGTATTGTCTTTGGCAGGTTGTTCTTCTCTTTATAGATTACTTTGAAGGAGGCGTTCGTTGATATGGAATGACCAGTGGTGACGAGATGTTCGATTATCACACTTCTTATAGGGCCACTACACCCTTTCTGATGTCACGCTGGATAGTGCTGTTTGATCCATTTTGACAGGATGCGCGTCGAACGACCAATGTACCTGACTGGCTCCACAGCAACAGGTGAACTGATATATACACATAGAAGTGGTCAGGTGCGGGATCTTGTCCTTTGGACTTCTGTAGATCAGCGGGCGACTGGAGAACACTACTCTCAATGTTGCCGCAAGGAAAGTTCTTCTTAAAGAAGTGGAAATTCTCCTCTTAAGGACATCATTGAGTAGGTCACCTTTGATGTCGAGGTTCATATGAAGTATCCCTTGCTTTTGAATTTTCTGTTTAATGCTTTTGTCTATGAATCTTGGTGGATAACCGTTTTGTATGAAGGTTTCTTTCAGGAAGTTTAGTTCTTCCATGGTATCAGAGCTGCAGATGCGTCGGACGCGAGTGGCAAGAGATCTAATTAAGTTTCTTTTCCGACTGATTGGTACCCAGCTGTAGAAGCTTGTCAGTTGGCCGTTCCATGTGGGTTTCCTATGTGTAGACCTTCTTAAAGTTCCGTCAGCTCTCCTTGTAGGTTCAACATCAAGGAAAGGGATTTTAGATTCATTTTCAATTTCAAGAGTCAACTTTGTGGCTGAATGGCATTTGTTGAATATTTGTAGTAACTGATTGAGATCGTGGCCGTCATCACAGATGATAGTCAAGATGTCGTCTACATATCTAGCATACAATTGGAAATTATCAATAGTTGATTTGAGTGGGCCGTTCTCAAGGTTTACCATGAAACAGGATACTAGCAATGGGCCCAGTGGAGATCCCATCTTGTTGTCTGTAAATAAAATCGTTGAATGTGAATTGTACATTAAGTATAAATCTCAGTAGTAGTTCTTTTAAACAGGCTGTCGGTAATCCAATGTTTAGCTGGTTTTCGTCTATATACTGACATATGTGACAGACAATTTCTGTGAGTGGAACTACCTTCTTATATCAACATTCAATTCCTCTGAACGCATATATTTGTGATTGTACAGCTATGAACATGAATTCGCCGCGGAAAAGAGACTCTTCGCTGAACTACTAGTCTTCTGTCTATTAATGTTCGAATGGAGAATTTTCATGAATAATGAATGGATACTGAACAAACAATATTCTTTTCGATAACCCCTTCATCATCAGGCTCTACAGTTATATATACAATTATAATAGTGAATGAATGAATTAGTGTTACGAACAACATTAATGTTGTTTAAATAACATCGAATCAATAATAATATTAATAGATTACAGTTCAATAGCATCAATATAACAATAAACTGATTGTCAGAGAGGTTAGGAAAGATAATTTTACAAATTCATGAATTTATAGTCTCTACTAAAGGCCAGGAAGGCAGTAGTGGCTAGACTTGCTTCTTCTGCACACAAAGCACTGGTTGTTTGAGGCGAATTGTAATAGCGTCTACTGTTTGGAGCATGCGGTGTTTTGATGATTTTGGCAATTTATTTGATACCCGGTAGATGATAGAGGAGGATTCTTCAATGCTGACTTTGTTGCCGGTTTGGACCAGATGTTGTAATATCAAGTCTTATTTTCTACAAAACTGATGGTGATTCCTCGATTGAAAGATGAAGTACCTAGACTAGCTGGTCACTTCCAATTGTATCTACCAATTCAACTGCGCTTGTGGTGGAGCGAGTTGTATTCGTCGTTGTTTTAGGAATTTGATTTTTCGTGCTCTCTTGGAAACATCTCCCAGTATGGCTAAGTAAAGGTGTAGTGAGAAGCATCAACAGTTCGATATTGGACCCCATCTGGTCCAAACCAGCATTGTAGAATCCTCCCCTATCATCTACTGGGTGCCAAATAAATTGCCAAAATCATCCAAGCACCGTATGGTCCAAACAGCAGAGGCTATTGCAATTCGCCTCAAATAACCAGTGCTTTGTGTGCAAAAGAAGCAAGTCCAGGTATTACTACTGCCCTGGCATTTAGTAGATTCTATAAATTCATGAATTTGTATTATTATCTTTCCTAATTCTCCTGATATTCAGTGTGTATTCTTATGTTGATGCTATCGAACTGTAATCCATTGATATTGTTGTTATTGATTCGATGTTATTTACACAACATTAATGTTGTTCATAACACTAATTCATTCATCCACTATTATATATGTATATATAACTGTAGAGCCTGGTGATGAAGGGGTTATCGAAAAGGGTATTCTTTGTTCAATATCTATTTCTTTTGAAAATTTTAATGGGCATTTTCAATAAGTTAATAATAAATGTCTTCTTTACTTAATTTACCAACTGACTGACTAACTAACTAACTCATTTTCATGCTAACGTCTACTTTTTCAAAAAAAAATTCAGCAGAAGTAGTGAAAATCAAGATAAATACATACATTATTATTATTTATATTTCACAATTTCAGCTTTATATATATCATTTCATATAAAATCTAAGTGTAAGACAATTGCATTTGCTCATCTCATCTTGTGAAATAGGCTTTAGCAGAATTCCACTCTGAAATACAAAATCGTCGTTCAAAATTGTATCTTTTATCTGTAATGCAGACAGAAAACAAAATGGTAATGAGCAGATATCATATATACATATATAATAGTAATAATAATAATAATAAAGAAATATACGTGTTTATTAATGAATAAGTATAAAAAGAGTCGTCCTATGTATACAAGAATTCATGTCTATCGAGACTGACTGACTGACTAATTCATTCATCACTGATGAGGCATATTTCCAAACATGTTCATCGACGACAGTAATATTGACTGATTATTACTCATAATCATATCAAGGCATTACTCACTCTCACACAACTTCGTTGCTTCATTTATATACATGAGTAGAAAATTGAGGATATAGACATTTGAATAGTAATCAATATAAGATAATAATAGTAGTGTTATCAATAAAATACAATAGGATGGGAAATAAGATGTAGGCTAAAGGACCCTGTAGGTTGACCCAATTAAACAAAATACCTTGCAATAACTGTGAGTGAAGTCAACTAGATAGGTCAAACTAGTAGATTGGGTGGGAGTAGTGAGATTATCAGAACTTAAAAATTTAGCTGAAGTTAGAATGATTAACCCCACCCACGAAGATAAGTAATGTAGAATACAGTTCAGCAGTCTCACTGCATGCATTAACACACAATAAGGTGGGTAATATAGGTAGGCGGAGACAGAGAGAGAGTGGTTGATTACTGAATCCTGGTTTATCCACTCTACACCCATCACATGTGCAACAGAAATGACTCAACGCAAATATACCAGAGATAGGGAAGATATTATCATCTACAGTCGAATTAGAGGATAATAAATAATGCTAAAGTGTATTCAATTACATTAACATTATAACATTCTAACAAGTTACTTATTATGACTATAGAAACACTCGTTTTATTTCCCATGTGATTGTAATTGATCAATAACACTCGTATTATTATTTCTGAATGTACATTATCTCATATTGATTTTTATTCCATTATCTGGTCAGTTCCACACATGTATACAAATGAAGTAAAATGTTGTGTGTCAATAGAGACACGTATTTAACGCCCTGAAAAGAACATCCCCTGCTGCTACATTACGATTGGTATTCTCATACCCTGTCCCATTGTTTTTCAACAACTCCGCAGATAAACTATCACATTTGACCACTTCTATGTGTACCTTTTGACTTACTCATGTTGAGCGAGGTATACAGGTCGTTCGATGTGTGTCTTATCTAAAAGAGTTAAAGAGTATTATATCCCGCCTGGCTACAAAAAGGTAACAGTGGATCAATAATGGAAGTGCTATAATTGAACATATATTCAACATTGGTCACTCAATATGCACGGAAAATTCGTTCAAAGTTATCTACAAAGTCAGAAGAAGCCTCCCGAAAAGAGACAGCTTCCGTATACTTTGAATTGCGGAGTCCTCAGCGATCCGGATAGAAAACCCTGATTTATGTACACAGAAGAAACTTCTCCACCCTCTCCTTCTTACCTTGTGTATAATTTCAAGCTTTACTACTTTGTTAATAAGGCTTTCTTTTTTGAATTTTTGTATGACATCTTAGTAACATCCTTTTCTTAACCAACCCTTTAGTTACTCTTTCTACCTATTACGTAATTTTGTTTTTTGGACACGTATCTCTATTACCACCCTATTCCATATTACGCAACCCTTGCTAGTACTTACCAATCTTCACGACTTTGATTATTCATAACATTTTGATGACGTAAACAGAAGAATTATTTCCAAGTGTTAGATTGTAAAGATCTAGTTGGCTTCATGGTGGATTTCGGTGGCCATGACCACCCCATGAGTGGTCATGAGTGCGCACTGTTGCAGAATACGAAACGACTGTCGTCCAGTGTACTTCGGTCGTCAACATCTTGTTAACTGGTTTGGATTTTCATGACGAAATCTACCCAGAAACTACTTCATTTGTGGTTAATGCCGTGAGCCTATGAAAATAGGTATTAAGAATCTTCTTCTAGTACAGCATAGAATGTTGTCTCTACGATAAATTTAAATTACCGCCAAATAATATCCCTTACAGCAAACCCGAATAGCTAACTTAGTGGTAATGTCGCTAAGTGCATCACACTAGGTGATTCGGGTTCGAATCTCAGACGGGAATATGAGCTCCTTCAAGATTGTAGAAAGGCCTTGCTGACGAATGCCGAAACACAAGTTGAAGACTTTTCTGCCGATTGCCTCCAACCATCCCAAACAACAATATGAACATACGTCACATGGAAATATATTTGTAAAACCTAGACGAGGTAAGGAACTAGTTTTCTTGTACTTTTGATAACCTAAATGAGAATCTACATTTAAGAGGTCACAAAACATAAAAGATTTGCCTATCATCATTAAAACTTTAGAAATATCTTCCCCTATAAGTAGTTATTTATGCTAATGTACAACTTGTAATATTATCAATATATGTGTAAAACTTGGGCACTGTGGTAGTAAGTAGTTTGTTTATTAGATGTATCACACAGTGAAACAGTATTATTTACTGGATGATACAGGTTCGAACACAATTTATAACTGTTCATAATCATAGCATCAATTATAATCACACAACTTCGAAACTTCAGTCTTATAGTTTTCTTTATTCTTTTCTGTTTGTCGTCGTAGGCGTGGTAGTAGAATTTTCCATATATCTGGGTGGACAGGTGTTGAATCATTCTCATTACAAGTGTTCTCTCTCATTTGATTCGATAAGCAGATCTTCCGTTATTAATCTCTCCCTCCACCCCGCTTTTACATTAGATTTTAAAACTGTCATCTTATCCCATCCCATCGTATGGTTGAGTGTAACTGAATGTGGTGAGTGGTATGGCTGAACTATTCTCTAGATTTCTTATCTTATTCGGGTCAACCAATCTAGATTTTGCTAGGTGTAATATTATCAACTAATAACTCTTTCTATCACTTTCAGTAGTCACTCAGTAACTTCACGAAGTACATATTTAACTTATAACATCTAAGATGAGAGGGATGTATAAGGCTCATTTAATGAAGTCAAATTGTAGCGAGTGCTACTGATAAGACTTATCAGTAGTATATAAAATCATCAAATAGCAAGGAGATAGATTTGATATCAAAGAAAGCAAATGATACAGCGTTGTGGTGGAGATACTTGGGAGACGACGTGAAAGGAACACAAAGAAACACACACACAATATGAAGAAAGGCCAGAAGTACCACAACACATGGATGATCTGTGCAAACGGTGCGTTGAAGATAAGCTATACATACCAAATTGCAAATAAACATTCCTTTACCGAGTCTTTCCTCTTCTACCGTTTCAAAGTGAATTAACTAACTAAGTGATTAAAATATAGAGTATACGTCAATGTGTACGTCACAAGGATCACCACAATCTATCTGTGTAAGTTGAAAATTTTATCCTGAGCATTACCCAACAGCCAATTGCATTTCCTTCCATACTGTTGACAATCAGCAACTTCTATCGTGCAAAGACTAGTGATATTGTAACGGCAGAAGACAAAGGCCAGACAACAGATCGTTAATTGAGAAAATCAACAGATATTTGTAGATTTTTATGTACATTATTATTATTTTATGTACATTATTATTAGCGTTATTGTTAGCAGAGAAACAGCGTCTTCTGATTGGTTGTTTTCCTGCTGAAAGTTATGCTGTCCTCTCTCTCTCTTTCTTTTTTGCCGTTTCTTAAACAGTCCGATATGCGATATGTGATTGGTTGTTGAGTTACTCAAGGTTAGACTTTGTTCTTGTGTTTTTTCTGATGACGTAAATTGCTGTCTACAATTACTATTTTGCTCCCTAAACTTCAGTATATGGTGATATAGGGGGGTTCGAACCAATGACCTGCCTAGTATGATTGGAAGTCGAGTGTCTAGACCAATAAACTATCACCACCACAGCTCCATCAGTTATCCAGTCTGATGGGAACTGGTCATTGGCTTAAGCACTCAGCTTTCAGTCAGTGGATCCTGGGTTCGAATCCCCACTTCACCCTAGCATGAGCATTCCACACACACACACACACACAACAATGGGTATGACTCATAATTCCGGTATATGAAAAATCCTGTTTAGAGGAAACTGACTGGACGACACAGAACAGTGAAGATAACAGACAGAGATCTAATGCAGCGCAAACAACCAGGAAAGATTGTCAAAATCACTTGAGACACACAATTAAGCTGATATTTTGCATATATATATATATCTTAACGTTATATTAGGCAGAGACAATCAAAAGGAGAAACACTGTCTGACTTGATCTTTTTTATCTTGACTTCTTTCTCAGCCACTGTACACACCAAACTATAATTATCTTCAACAGGTCTTGATACCAATAATAATAAGAGAAGAAAACAGACAATGACAATCAGAGAATAAATTCTTGCTGTCAACTGTCCCCCTCCTCCTCCTACTACTGCAGATAACCAACTTAACTTACCTAAACATTGACCACTGTTTGACTTATTGTTCACTTCTGTCAAAGCATCCATTTTCTTCTCAAGTAGACTCTCCTAGAACAATGTGAGAAGAAGAAAAAAAGAAATGAAATCAGTAGGAAAATTTACAACACACAACAAATTGATATAGACTTTTTACGGTCCTGAGCATTATCCGTACTGAATAAAAGCTGAATAACGTTAGAGTATAATAAGTGGATGATATTGTCCTGCTTGGTGAAGACTCTGACAAAATGCACCGTGAATAGAGTATCCAAGAATGTTTGGCATCCGATTCGCTCCTGCTGTTAAAAGTACGATGATGCTATCTACAGAAGTCAATGGACTACACTGACTCCTAGGTTAAAGATAGGGAGTGTGAAGTAGTGTTTCCCAAATTTACATCAATTGTGGTAAAGACGATCAAAGAACGCGTGTACTGCGTAGCAGTCTGTTTTCTATCCTGTGAGACAAGGCCATTGAAAGTAGAAGATATAAAAAGGCTAGCTACCTTTGATCACAGATGTCCGCATTTCACCTCTCGTGTTAAATAGTACAACTTAGTGAGTAATACTGAGGTTAGGTGTAGAGTGAAGGTGATTCGACTGAGATGGCCAAGGCGCCGAGCCGTCACTTTCCTCACCGGGACAATGTTAGCTCATATATGATCAGGTTAGAAAAGACCAAAAGCCTGTCATAAATTCTTTGTGAAGTTTGCTGTTCAAGCTATGTAGGGAAGTGTAGGGGCTTCTTGGTTGGTGTCCTCAGGACAAATGACTGAAGACTGTTGGCGATACGGCTCGAAACTGTTCTAAATGCCGTAGATGCATTCACTCTCTGTAACCCCACCCATATCCACTAAATCCTTATGTTTTTCGATGTCAGTTAGTGAATAACATTATAGAGCAAGAAAAAGACAGAGGTAGAGAAACATTGACTTAATAATTAGAAAACCTGCAGCAGTAAGAACTATCTGTCAAAGTATTGTAATAGGAGTAGACATATAATAATGAGTCAGTGTTTCCCATGTGATCATTTGTGAACTAGACACATTTGATCCTAACACGTGGATTAAAGATCACACATTGTTGGATTTCTTTTTATATTCCTAAACCAGTAAATTTATTGATCATGCAAAAGAAGGAAGTATGTAACTAGCTGTAATTTCTGGCCTTATTTGCCTTCTCAGTTAGTCAGTCAGACAGGCTTGTGTGTGTGTCTCTCAATATACGGGAGTAGTAGTCGAGCGATGAGTTGTATATTATCGAGGGTTGAAGTACGAGTAGAATGAACCCAAATCCAGGATTTATCTCAGTCACAAGAAAAAGAAGTGGACCAACTACCAAGCTGTATTCCCCTCCCCACCCCCGCCGCCGCCTGCTTTCAACTAACAGGAAATCCTTCATAAACAGTCAATTAGGATCAATAGCGCAGATGTATTTTTCATAGCATATTACCATTGCAAAATCGTTGACTAACTGAGTCTCAACGTAGAAATTAGCACAGAAGTGCAGCAGTTCGAATTGCTAAACTCCATGTAGCACATAAAGGATACAGAAGAGTAAAATGGAAAATCATGAGGGTTTAGTGTATCTGAGAGATTACGAAGAAGATATATAAGCGAACAATACTGTTGTTTTCAATTATATCGCCTTCAGCCTTTACTCTAATTTATATAGATTTATAGCTAAGAATTTTTAACCCAATGACGATGATTTTGTGGCTCAAATAATACCTACATGTGCCACTTCTATGTGTATTATTATTATTATTGTTTCCTTTAATTCCTAGAGGAACATAGGGCTTCAGCCATGCGTCTCCATTGCGTTCGGTTCTCTGCTAGAGTCTTCACCTGGCTCCAAGTCTGCCCACACGTGTTCATCTCCTCTTCACATCACCTCCAAGTCACCCTTGCACTGACGGCCAACTCACCACTTCCCTTTCGGCCGGGTTCCACTCGAGCAATGGCCTGGTGTGTGATGTCACTTGATGGTTTGTTTTCTCAGAGTATGGCCAATCCATCTCCATTTCTTCCTGACTATTTGTTTCACAACCGGTTCCTGGTTGGTTCGCTCCCAGAGATCTCTGTTGCTGATCTTTTCTGGCCATCTAATCTTGAGTATTGAGCAAAGACAACTGTTAATGAAGGTCTGTAGTTTGTTTGAGATGCTCTTTATGACGCGCAGTGCAAGTCTCTGATCCGTATAGTAACACTAACTTCACACTGGAGTTGAAAATCCGGACCTTATTTTTGATGCTGAGTGCCGTTGACCTCCACACAGATTTGAGAGTGGTAAAAGCTTGTCTTGCTTTTCAGATTCTTGCTTTGATATCATCGTCAGTTCCGCCCTCCTGTAGTTGAAACGATGCTTCGCAGGTAGGTATCTACAAATTTAGTTGCTTCTGTGGAGAAAGCTGATTATATAGGGCGAACAACTGGACAGCTCAACAAACGCACCATTAATGAGTGTCTTCCTTCCTTCATGGTTCGGAAAAGGCCAAATAAAATCCATAAGCAGTTCTATTTTGAATTATTTGACTGATGACAGCGGTCACCAAGTGGACAGAAAAAGAAATGCCTTCAAAGTTATCTGTCACATTCCATCGAGCCTTTGGAACAGAATTCGAACCAACTTTTTGCACATAGAGTCGAAGCTTTGGGAATTAACTCGAGAGAACAATCCTAGTCTTTGCATACAACAAAAGAAGTTGGTTCTACACCTTTGTCTCTCCCTTGCTTGGCCTAAGCAAATTCTATTCAAAACCCCACCCCCACCCTTTCTTACTTTCCATTTCCTTCGAGTGGTTTTATGACATTTATTTAAACTCTGATTATCTATTCACTTCCCCTTCGGTATTATGCAACTTTGATGATTCGACCTAATTTATTTATCGAATTTTCTACATATACACACATATTGCTACCTTCGTTATACTTATCGCCACTTGTATATGATTTATTATCAATATTTTGTTATCACTATAATCATCGTTAATAATGACGTTCAAAACTTCTACCACATTACCATTACTATCATGATTATTATTATTATTTGATCCACAAAATCACCGTCATTGGTTAGACTTTCTTATATCTATGAATCTGTGTAAATTAGAGTAAGGCCTGAAGAAGGTCTAATTGAAAACAACAACAATATTGTTCGCTTATATGTCTTGTTCTAATATTATAATGGGAGCAATATTTGAAGATTACGAAGAGTCGATGTGCGCCATTGATAGCAACTTTGAATCATATCATCATCAGTCTTCTCAAGCAATTGGTTTTTGACATTCCAAGAATCGCATCCAGACTATCTGTCTCAAACCAACTGTTTTCAAGAATTTATAGACTGACGCCAGGTGTTAGTTTGACCCCCCCCCATAGCTCTTTGCCAACCTTATCTTGTGTCAGCTAACAGTGATCGTCGAGGAAGGCGGTGGCTTGACATACGCATGTAAATTGTTTACCCTAAGAAGAATTGAGATATACGTTGCTCTCACTGACAACAAATTTTCACTAAACACTTAATTCATGCTGAAATCGTCTCTTCTGAAGATTGTCAGTAAAGCTTATGACTTATGTCATGGTTATAGCAAACTGTCGCATGTATGAAAAAAAGGACTACTGACGAACTAACATAGAATTTTGCACAGAAATGTCTCCATACAAAGTGCTACACTTGAGAAAGCACACAAAAAGGACAAGCAACATGATACACACAACGTATATGTATATTTGTCTGCGAAGTAGAGAATAATTTTTAATTATAAGTCGATAAAAAGATTTCCAGAATTTAGACAAGCAGTGATCATTATTTCCGCTTTTATAACTGATTTCCAACTACATCTTATCAACACCCTCCCTAAAACCATTAATTCTAAGTGTGTTCTGGAGATCAGTCTCTCTGCCAAGGAAGTCATATTCATTGCCTTGACACGGCGAGGATCTTCCGCAGCAAAATGAAGGGGCCAATGTGAACATCCGGTGCTTACAACCGGACAGGTGGACATGCTGGTCCACCTACCCACCTAGGAGAGCTAGGAAACCCTAGTTTCGACATGGGATCCAGAATTCGAATGGCGGTGTGTGAACCTATTTCGGTCGCCGGAAACGCCTCCAAAGCCTCAGGATGGTCGAGGGTGGGTGCCTTGCGCTGTGGGTTGGCCACCCCTCCGCACACCTCTTGAAACGCTCCCATATGACCGGGCGTCTTACATAGCCTCTCCTGAGGAAGTCCTACTCACTGCCTTCACGTGGCGGAGGTGTTTTTCACCAAAGTGAGAGGGCGAAAGCGGATGCCCGGCGCTCTTCACCGGGTTGATTGTCCATTGGATGACAGTCTAGGGGAGATAGCTAAACCCTGATTCCAAACCTCCAACGACTGGCGTATGAAGCTCACTGGAGCTCACCGGCAGACGTATGGACAAAGGGCTTGTTGGATGTCCTGGATGTCTGGCCTCATTCAAAAAGGCGTATGAACCGAACTCCGGTCACCGGCTGTCAATAGAGCTGCACTCTCAAACAAAAGGCCGAGCGATTCTAGGGACATCACTCGTACGAAATTCCCATGAAACTTCATGAACTCTCTCCGTCTGTCGAACAAGAATTGGATAACCCTGTCGCAAAACCTTGCATCAGGTCGCCGCGCCTGGGCAGCGATGATTCGAGATGTTCATGAAGCTGGCTCATCCTCCCATAGGAGATAGCCGAAGTAAAGAAAGAAAGAAGAAGGTCGCCGGAAACCACAAGGACGTAGCTCCTAATGCGACTTTACTGCCTTGTAGATCAGAATTCAAAATAAAAGCTCGAGCGAGGGGGTAATAGTGGCCCCTTAAGACAATCACGTGCGTCAGACTGGACATCCGGAGAATAAATATTACAGCCCTGGCACAAACTATGCGATTTTGTATGGAGCATCTCTTGACGCTCTTAATGCACCAAGTCTGTGTGTTTTAAAAATTATGAATACTGTAGATCACAGTTACGCCTGCCTACACCGCTCAGGTAAGCGGCCACCAATGACTTTATGGACTGATTCAATGTTCCCTTGTTAAACTAGCTAGCTAGCTCTGTTTCAGCTACGACACTGCTCATTGATCAGGGAGGTAACTTGGCATTTTTACCGCAAGTTCTCCAAACAAATTAGAACTTACAAATCCTCACAATCTCGTCGGCCAGTCATCTATTCTCCCTCTAATGCCGACAGATAGATGGAAGCAAGAATGATTCAGGAGAAGAAATCTAATCCTTTCATTATCTTCTAATCTCAGGTATCAGTTGTCTCATCGTCGTAAAACAGATGACATTTGTTACTGCCTAGTGTATCCAGTCAAAATATCAGTTACAGTCCTACAGTAGGTCAATAATCGTGAGTTCGCATAGCTCACTGGTAACCACCTCAGACTGCAGCACTGGGTGAACCGGAGTTCATATCTCAGAGGCGATATGATATGACTTCCTTCAAGATTGCAGATAATACACACCTTGCTGACTGGTAAGTGCCAGTAAACATGAAACCTAAGATCAAGGCTTCCTCCTACCGTCTAATAACAACATTTCAGAGTGCAACATGATGACAAGCTCTATCTTAGCACGGTGGCCATAAGGATTTCAATCAGCACCACCACCAAACGAAGGATCAGACACCTGATATTAAGGCTTACCACCTAGTGTTCAATCAGAGAATTAAAGTCTTAATTAATATACATAACTTTAGAAGATAATGGAGTCGCTGGTCCATTGGTAGAATGCTCGCTAACCATCCCCCCCCCACACACACACATCAATAGGTAAGGGTTCGATTCCCGATCGACACACTCTTACACTCCTAAACCCTCCAAGAAAAAGGAGGTTAAGGTAAAAACTTTAAAAGACAAAACGAAAGCAGAAGAAAACGGGGGTGGGTGGGTTAGACGTTAAATAGGATACATGGACAAATAGATAGATAGAGAGATAACTAACTCACTTCTATATAATTGGCTAGAATAGTTGGACTAAGCTCAGTCTCCAGTATACTCGTATTCTGTGGATGCTGATAACAGCAAGCAATTAATGTTGGATAGAGAATATCAGTTAACGGATGATGACTAAAATATTCAAATGGTAAAGATAAAAGATGTTGCAATAGATTCGGTGATGGACCACACTGAAGGTTAGTTTGATTCTCTATATTCAATGCACACAAATAACCAATGCATAGGATAGCCTCGTGTAGAATATTCTCTGTGACACCATAGCTGTTGTATTCTTTTAATTGTCTAAAAAAGAGAGAAGAAACATTTTTGAAAAAAAAATAAAAGTCAGTAAATTCCTATTGATTTAAAGATGCTCATTAAAAATATTTCAAAAGACTGATTTTCAAAAGAATGGTTGATGAACAAAGAGTATTCTTTTCGATAACCTGCTATTCAACAGGTTCTACAGTTATATACATAATAGTGAATGAATGAATTAGTGTTATTAACAACATTAATGTTGTTTAAATAACATCGAATCAATAATAATAAAAATATAAATAGATTACAGTTCGACAGCATCAACATAACACTACACAATGAATATCAGAGAAATTAGGAAAAGTAATATTACAAATTCATGAATTTGTAGTCTCTACTGAAGACCAGAGCAGTAGAAGTGACTAGCAGGACTTGTTTCTTTTGCACACAGAGCACTGGTTGTTTCACGCGAATTGTGATAACCTCTTCTGCTGTTTGGAGGATGCGGTACCTGGATATTGTTGGCAATTTGTTTGGTACCCAGTAGATGATAGAGAAGGATTCTTCAATGCTAGCTGCTTTGTGGCCGGCAGGTTTGGACCAGGTGGTCTGATATCGAACTGTTGATGATGGTTTTTACCACACCTTTATTTAGCCACACTGATAGGTGTTCCCGAGCGAGCATGAAAAATCAAGCTCCTAGAGTGACGGCCAATATAATTCGCTCCACCACAAACGCAGTTGAATTGGTAGATACAATTGGAAGTGACCAGCTAGTCTAGGTACTTCATCTTTCAATTGAGGAACCACCATCGATCGTGTAGAAAATAAGATGTGATTCGCGATTCGCCTTAAAAAACCAGTGCTTTGTGTGTGTAAAAGAAGAAAGTCCAGCCAGCCACTACTACTGCCCTGGTTAGCCTTCAGTGGAGACTATACATTCATGAATTTGTATTATTATCTTTCCTAATCTTTCTGTTATTCATTCAGTGTAGTGTTATGTTGATGCTGTCGAGCTGTAATCTATTTATATTGTTATTATTATTATTATTGATTCGATGTTAGTTAAACAATATTAATGTTGTTAATAACACTAATTCATTCATTCCCTATTGTGGATGGATATATAACTGTAGAACACTATGAAGATCAGGTTATCGAAAAAATATTCTTTGTTCACTAACCATTCCTAAGAAAACAATTTTTAATGGGCATTTTTGATCAGTTACAAGACCGATTATTAGTGGACAAAGAATAAATTCTATTCGATAACCTCTTTATTATCAGATCCGGTTCTACAGATATATATATATATATATATCTACTGGTTTTTGTAGGGATTTATGTTTGATTGGTTGGAGGATTTCATCATGAGCTGACGACCAATACATGAAAATCGATCTGACGCTCACTAGAGACTGGCGGTCCCATTCAGGTAGTTAGTTACCTGGGGGCTGTAGTGGGAAGTCGCGACCAGTAGGGTACAGCAGATTGAAGGTGAAGACAGTTACTCATTGAAGAAGACATTGGGAAGCGGCCGCGCTATGTGTCATGAATTGTCACTGACTGACCATTGGATTGGAGGGTCCCAGTGGCTTAATGGTCTACTAGCTCGCTAGCCTTGTAACCAGAAGGTCCTGGGTTCGAACCCCGCGGCGTGGGTGCGTAGTGCTGAAGAGTCTCAAACTAGGACAACAGAAACAGCTGTCCATTGCTCCCAGCTGGTCTTCCGATGGTTCTCCGACTGATGTCAGCTCATGATGAAATCCTTTAGCAAATTAAATAATTATTGTTATTATTGACAGTATTAGTGTTTTTAATAATATCGAAACAAAAGCATCTGTGGGTGATAATATGCATTAGATTATGAAGAAAGTAGAGCAGAATTTATAAATCTATTGACTCCACAAGGTAGCAATATAGTGGCTGGACCTGTTTTTTTATTTGCACACAGAGTTACGGTTGTTTTAAATTAATTGTAACAACCTCTACTGTATGAGGATGTGTTCGGTACCAAGAGGCTTTTGACAGTTTATTTGATATCCGAAAGACGAAAGAAAAAAATTCATCAGTGGTGAGCTTCGTAGCTTGTTTGCACCAGGTGGTTGTCGAATATCCAATTCTTGACGGTTTTTACTACACCTCTATTTATCCACATTAGTGGGTGTTGTTCGTTCTCTAGCATGAAAAACTAAGTTTCTAGAGCGAAACGACATTGAAAAAAGAACAGATGTAGCTCTCACAAGTCCCTATACTACCAGCGACAATCTATCCATGATATTATTGATTAGGTGTTGGATTGGACTGGACTGGTTTCAGCATAGAATAAATTTGCACAGATGTCCAGCAGTTCAACTTGCTACACTCCCTCCATGTACCACACAGTGTAAGAGAAGACAGTAAAGAGAGATTCAAAACGGAGAGATAATAATCAGAAATAAGGGACAAAAAGAATAGTAATACGGAAGATCAATATAGTTTTATTGGATATTCTAAATCATAAGGAGTGGATGCATCTGCGCTAGCCATCGAAAACAATCACTTTGAGCCATATCACCAATTGTCTCCAGCTTTCATTAGTTTGAACCATCCTGAGGACCCCAAACAGCCAGTCAGGAATCATAGACCTCCCTACGTGGCTGGCTTTAACTAATTGTTGTGGACTTCATTGACTGATGATGAAGCCATGTTCTGGTTTGACCACCACTACTAGCTAACTCTTTTCCAACCTGATGGATGGATCACATCCTATGTCAGTCAGCTAACATTGCCTGTCGTCGAGGAATACGATGGATGACTAGGCATGCATGAGTAACACACATCCTAACCCTCTTTCTCAATCATTGTAACTTCACAACCTCATCAATTGATTTACCCTCCTCCCTATACAGCACTCGACCGATGCCTAACTTCAATATTGCTCACCCTATCATACCACTTCATACGGGAGATAGAACACAGACACCTATGAATTTTAACTCCTGTCAATTCGGGATGTATCACTACCTCCAACAAATGCCTTCCAATAAGCATCTATACTTCATTCACCTTGACATTGGCTATGACTACTCGGTACAACTTCAGGACATTGGTTGTGGATGACACGCTTTACCACGAATTGACAACAAAAGTTAAAATCCACAGGTTATTAAGTTTAGTCTCCAAAAAACTTGAAGATCTCAGATTCAATTCATGGTAGGCTCGTAAATGTTGACTCATTTAATGTTTTTTCCTCTTAACTTGTTTCTACTGCACTGATAAACACACAAGCGTTGATGATATCAGATAGTTGGAGGCAATTGGCCACACAGGAAGCCCAGCCTGACCTAGCAACTCGTCATCAAGGTGCACCTGCAACTGCCTTGAAGGAACTCATGTCCCTTCTCAGATTCGAACCGGTGTCACTTCCTTCAAGGCGGTTGCAGTTACGCCTTACTGACTGACTGACTGGTGAGTGCCAACTAACACGAAATATAGGTCAAGCAAGGCTTCCTGTGCCCGATTGCCTTCAACCATCTAACTCATATCATCAAATTAATGTGCACCTCACGGTGGCGAGCTACCTAGTGACATGGTGGTTACAGTGCAAACCTGACTGACTGATAGAATTCAGTCTGCACCAAACAGAGGACTAGACACATACACATTACACTAGTTAGTTACTAGTGTCCAATAAAAAAAGACACAAATGTTGGTCCTGAATAAGGGTTATGTGGGATGTATGCATAATTTAACCTAGACATTTATTTATCACCAACAAATAAAAGCTTTTTAAAAAGTAGCTTTACAGATAACAAAAACAACAACATACTTGTTACTATTAGCTACGCTATTGAATATTGAACTGTTAGAATTTGTAGTCCATTTTGAAACAAGCGGAAATGCTGATGATTTCTCTGACGGCGACGATGATGATGTAACAGTTTGACATCTATTATCATTTACAGGATTTAGCTTTAAATTCTTTTTAACAACAACTTTTCTAGCACCACTTGGCAGTAGATCAGCTGTACCGTCATCATCATCATCGTTGTCTTTATCAGAATCAATACAAGGATTCATCTCTGCCTTTTTCAATTTTCTAGTTGATAGCTTTGAATTATGCTTCAGCTTGGATGATGATGATGGTTCTTTGGACTTCTGGTGTTGTGGTTGCTGTTGTTGTTGAGGAGGAGGCGGAGGCGGCTGTAGTGGAATTGATGTAGGAGAACGAGGTAGAAGCATAGAAGGTGTACTACTACTATTAGTAATGCTTGTTGTATTCACTTGCGAAGAAACACAACGTGTCAACAGATTGACCAATATATGTCGCATTAAAAGGCATATAAGTTCACCACCGAGAATAGACTGTAAAACAATAATAATAGTAATAATAATATTAAAAACTGATACAATAATTTTGAGTAAAACAGATGTATGGTTCTATGATGAAGGTCATACAGGGTGCAGAGTAATCGGATCGAGGGAGCGAATCGATGTCTCTTTCTATCTACTATTCAGCAGACGAGTAGCCAATATGACAAAATGATCGTTCTGAATTCCACTGTTAGTCATACTTCAGCGCATGTTCAACAATTTTTTTTTTCTTCATGAAATTCAGCTCAGTTGTCGATCAAAAGGCGTGTGTACTGCTCAGTAGTCACTTTACTCTCTCCTCCTTTATGGCTGGGGCTGTGAGCGAGACATGGCCATTGGAAGTGGAAGACTGGCTAGCTGTCTTTGATCATAAGTGCCTGCGTTCTATCTCCCGTGTTAAGTGGTATAATAAAGTGAACAGTATTCAGGTTATGCTTCGGTCGAGTGTTAGGTAAGGAGGCAAAGTCAATCGAAGAGGTTATGAAGCAGCTGTATCAACTGAGATGGTTAGGACATGTTTTACGCATGCCTAGTCTAGCCTAGTCATCGCCTTCCTCGATCAACGGGCAATGTTGGCTGACATAGGATGGATCAGATCGGAAAAGAGTTAGTTAGTGGTGGTCAAACTAAAACATGGCTACACCAGTCAGTGATATCTACAACAGTAAGTTTAAGCTGGCCATTTCGGGGAGATGTAGACTTCCTGATTGGCTAGTTGGGGTCTTCAGGATGGTAAGAAGCAATGAAGGCTGGAGACAACTGGTGATATGGCTTAAAGTGATCGTTGCCAATGGCTGGTGCAGATGCATTCACACTTTTTGATTTATAATATCCAATAAAATTCTATTGTATCCTTCCATATTACTATTCTCTTTGCTATACTCACACTTCTGTTTATTATCTCTCTCTCTCTCTCTCGTTTGAATCTCTCTTTACTCTGTTCTTTTGCTTTGTGTGGTACATGGATGGAGTGAGACAAGTCGAATCGCTGCACATCTGTGCAAAGTTGTTCTACGTTAGAACCAGTAGTTATTCAGTCCAACAATTTTTTTAGCAATAATAGAGGTGTCATTATCTACTGAAAATGTGAAATATGACCATTCCGGATCAGCAATCCGCAACTAGATAATGCCATCCTACTTGTATCTTATCAAACCAACCAACCAACCTACCAAATAATCAATAAGATCATGTAAAGCTTACCTGCATTGTACGTTGATGTAATGATGATAGTGAATTAATTAATTTTAAAATATTCAATGTAATCTCTGCTATCACTTCACTACGAAATGGTGGTGATTCGCTAGGAGGAGTATTCATCACACCAAATGCTGTCGACTTTGTACTGCCTAAAGATTCAACTTCTTTTTGTGAATTATTATGCCGAAGTTGTTCTGAAAAAAAAGAATAAATTGAATTGAAATAAAACAACGGAAAAAAGGAAACAAAGAAAGAATTATTTACCGTGTTACACAATTGAATAACAGAGAGCAAATAATAACTTGTAGAGAATCCTAGTAAGTTAAAGTATGTGTGTACAACAAACACCTTTCACCTTTGTGTCTTTACAGTATTTGAGCCCCATGGGAGAGCAGAGTTTAAGGTATGCCAAACATACATTAATCTAAATGCATAAATGTATTGTGTGGTTGGATGGCAGGATGTTCTGCAACAGCGCACGTGGTCCGGGTTCACCTCCTAAATCTCGCTTGGCCGGTAGTAAAGCCCGATTAGGAGAGAAGGTTGGGTATGTGAGGTTATCGATCCCACCCCATAAATCAACGCCACCGCCATCGCCACTGAAACTTCAAAGTCCAATATTCCACTCGCAAAGTTGAGTGAATATTCTTCAAGTTTAAAGTAACAAGTACCAAGAACAAGTCTTAGTAGGATGGAAGTGTACATTTACAGTCTAAAAGTCTCTAATACGAAAATGAAACAAGCACGACTTACATCCCCACCACTAACCATTGGATCAGGTTAGAATCTGAAACGATGTCTAAGCATCAATTAAAAAGAACCCATATAAAACCATTAAAGAATACTAAGTACACAAAATATTCAACAAAGAGACTCTTTCCAAAGAATTGATACATACATATATCAAGCGATAGAACAGGCTCTTTAATGTATATAAAACAGTTCCTGGAATGCATAGATCTTTCAAAACGAGGATCAAATAATCTAACTCAATCCGATCTATTAGTTTATATCAAATAAAACCACATAATACAGAATTCATATTCTACTAAAGTAGTAGTGCCTAAGTTCTACTTCATACATTAATTTCAGGTTGTAAAGCGGTCAAATGACGAGGCGGAGAAATAAACTGACGTAAGAGAATAACTTAGTCGAATTGTGCCTAGTCGGCTTAAGCACTCCACTAGTTGTTCCAATTTTTTATTTATTTATTTATTGCTTTACTCCTATACGTTCCAAGTAGGACATAAAGCTTCAGACTTGAGCTTTGAAGCGCCGGGTAGCAGTGGTTTTGTTTTTACAGGGTGGGGGGTTGCTATAGGCTCACTCCTAACCTTTCCACTTTATCGGACTTACTATTACGGCGGTTAAGTGAGGTTTAAGAATGCGTCTGCAGGGGATTGAACCCCGGACCACTTGCATGGGTTGGCGAGAGTTCTACCGCTGAACAACCAATAATTGTATTTTTTTTCTTCACAGTAACCCTGATTTATATGTTAATAATGTAGTAATTTAGTGAGTACCATTCACATCTTAATATCGTTTAAAGAGATTGTCCCTCACCAACACCACCACCACCTACAGATCATATATTTGTTGAAATTGATTATTATTTGTTATGTCAACTACAGGCGGAACTGACGAGGATATCAAAGCAGCGAGAAACGGGAAGACAAAGCAAGCTTTTATTACTCTCAATTCTGTGTGGAGGTCAACAGCACACAGCATTCAGCATGAAAAATAAGATCAGGATTTTCAACTCCAATATGAAGTCACTGCTACTTGCTATACGGATCAGAGACTTGGCGCCGTGCCGCACCGCGTCACGAAGGACACTTCAAACAAACTGTAGACTTTCATCAACACACCTGTCTTCGCCCAATACTACTCAAGATTAGATCGCCGGCCAGAAAAGATCAGCAACAGGAAGGGATCTCTGGCAATGAACGAACCAACCCAGCAAGAACCACTTGTGTAACAAATATGCAGGAAGAAATAGAGGTGGACTGGTGGCCATACACTCTGAGAAAACAAACCATCATCAAATGGCATCACATGACAGGCCATTGCTCTAATGGAAGCCGTATGGGTAGCGGTGAGTTGATCGTCAGTGCAAGGGTGACATGAAGGAGAAGGGGGTGAAGCGAAGAGGAGATGGAAGAATATGGGCAGACGTGTGTAACCAGGTAAAAACGTTGAGTACTCGACTGATAAGTCCTACCAAAATTTATGAGTTCATAAAATGCTACTATTTTTCTCTCTCTCTCTAACAGTTGTTGCTTGGTTTATTTACAAATATTCACCCCACCTTACACAAAGTGGGGGAAAAAACAACAGTTAACAAACACACATGCACACATATACTCACTCGTTTTATTAGACTGTTTTGTTGTTGATGATGATGATGATGGCAGCGGACTATTTGTATCATTACCCACTGATCCAGTATCAATTGGTCGACTATTTGGATCAAGTAGAAGACAATAGAGTAGCGGTACCAAGCCAAAGACTTCAGTAGTACTAACAGTTTCTAATAATTTTGTTGGATCATTCACTGATTGATGATTGTTCGATTGGCTATTCGACATTATTTTACAACTGTTCGCATAAGTTGTATCACATGATGAGGTAGAACTAGAGCAAGGAGAAAAAACAAACTTATATATACATAGAGAGAAATAATCTTTAACAAAACATCACTTCAACCTGACTAACTAAGCACTACTGGTTGAATGTCAGTGGTATCTCATTTTCTAGTTACCGCCAGGCAACGGCGTATTTTATATTTTCCACTCTTTACGAACACTCACCCTATTATACCACGTGACACGGGAGACAGAACGCAGGCACCTATCATCAAAGATAACTCTAGCCAACCTTTTCATATCTTCCACTCTCAATGACCATGTCTCGCTCACAGCCAGCCATAAAAAAGGACTACAGAGCAAACTGCTGAGCAGTGCACACATCCAAATGATCGATCAACAGCCAACTGGATATCACGTCTATTCCAGAAATGGTGTGAGTTGGCCATATGCAAAACGAACCTTCTGCACACGTGCTCATTATTAATCGAAGTCTTTCAACGCAGAATGTTAGTGAATGCGTGAAAATTTTTCGCTAGGACTCCTTTACTCAATACCCTACAAATAGTGGTGTGCATTTTCACTGTGAAAATTACGTAATATCAATAGACCCATAATATATATTCAGAAGAATCATTTGAGCGAACAACTCTAATTTCTTCAGACTGTAGAGTCATAAAATTCTCTTCAGATTCTTACAATTGGCTGGAGGATTTCATCGCGAGCTGATATCAGTCGGAGAACCATTAGTAAACCAACGAGAGAGAGTACTGGACAGCTGTTTCTGTTGTTCTAGTTTGGGACTCCTCAGCACTACGCACCCACTGCCAGAGTCAGAACCCAGCACCTTCTAAATACAAGACTAGCGAGCTAGTAGACTATTAAGCCACTAAGACCAGCCAATCCAATGGCCAGTCTATGAATTCTAACTTCTGCCAATTCACGACATAGCGTGACCATTTTGCAATGTCTTCTTCGATGAGTTGCTGCTTCATCTTCAACCTGCTGTACCCAACTAACTGGTCACAGCTTCCCACTAGCACCCCAGGTCACTGCCTGAATAGGGCCGCCAGTCGCTAGTCAGCATCAGATCAATTTTCAACTATTGGTTTTGTAGAGATTTTCGTTTAACTGGTTGGAGGATTTCATCATGAGCTGATATCAGTTAGAGTGCCAAAGTAGGACGAAACAACTGGCTGTCCAGTACTCCCAGCTGGTTTTCCAATGGTTTTCTAACTGATATCAGCTCATGATGAAATTCGCCAACCAATCAAACATAAATCCCTACAAAACTAATACTTGAAAATATCTTTTCGGTGATTTCATTTTCAAAAGAAGCTGTACAATCGCCTTTATATAGACATTTTTACAGAGATACAATTATTGTTCAAATCCATATTAGAGGTAATAATAATTTTCAACTTGGTATTGAAAGCTTTTGAAGGCGACAATATAGATTACAACGGGCTTAGAAACAAAATTATACAGGATTAGGAAGTGAAAGTAATTGCGTAATATATGAAATAGCTTTTTTATAGAGGAGACCTAGTGGTAGATATCCTGAAGCCCCCTAAAGAAGACTTTTCCTGCAGCAACACTATGAGTGATATCCTCTAGACGCCCATTGCTTCTAATCAGTGTGAAGGACAAACTTGTGCATATAATCACTCCAATGTGCCTGCTCTTGTGGAGCAAGGTACATTGACCGTAGTCAGAGGACGCTTTCCACACCGATACGAGAACATATTCCAGCATGGTTTTACAAGGGAGGAAAGAAGTGTGTGCGAAGCTCTATTCTGGAACACCTGTTCGACTTCTGTCACTCTGTCAACCCTGACCATGATTTTAAGATCATATATAGAATCCATGCTAACTTACCACGTTTTCTTCGTTACAGACTTCTAAAGACAGAGGAGGCCTTGGCAATTCATGACTTTAAGTCAGACTTTTGTGTACAAAAGAAGTATGTACAATCCCTACTTCTGCCTTGGCCGTAGAGGGATAGACATTTATTTATTTTGTTTACTTAGTTATTCTATGTACTCTTCCCTTATTACTACGATTATCATTATTATCTTTATTACTATTACTATTCGCACTCTGAATCTTTTCCACTTGACCCACTTGTCAGTTTAAACCCAAAATTATTAGTTTTTATATTTTTATTTTATTTTTACAATATTCAATTGTATCTTATCAAATTTCACACCATCTTATGTAACATTTTATATTCGCCTACTAATCCCATAATTATGCGCCCCTTTCCCAAATCTATACACCTTATGTATTATTCTATATACGACATTAATTGTTTTGCCACTTGACATTAAACAATGATTATAATCACAAATATTTTAATTGCATTTCATACTACTATTATTATTATTATTATTATTATTATTATTATTTAATGTATTCACACCTTTGGCTTAATTCCCTCACTGGATAAAATTTCTTAAAAAAACCAAATATATACGATTGTACAGCTTGATAATAAATTCGTTGAAAAGAGTCTCTGTTCACTGAATGTATTGTGTTCACAATACCAATTCACCTATTCCTGCAAGGCTAGGTACATAGGTCGTTGCATGCGCACACTTTCAAAACGTGTTGCAGAACACTCAGAACTCAGCACGGCAACACACAGGAGGCTCTGGTCTAATCAGAAGCGTCATATTTGAACACCTCACCAACGCCTATCACAGTATCTCAACTTACACATCATTTAGAGTCAATTACAATGACACCATCCACCAAAATCACATCAAGTTAGTCCTTTGAATAATAATAACCTATTTATTAGTACAGACAATCAACTCACCATCTTCTAGTTGTATTATTATTATTATTACTGCTTGATGAAGTCTTCGTCTGAGAGCTGCCCTCTTCAACTGACGACGACTGTACAACAACAGCAACAACAGGATCAATTGATTCTGAGCTGACTAAACTTAGAGAATAACAACCATCTGTCTGATTGTTGCTGTTGTTGTGAGGGTGATGATGTTGATTATATTTTAATTGTTCCCCTGAGACTATAGTTAACAAACGTGTTAGACTTGTTAGAAAGGCAATACTGCTTAGGACAAAATGTTGACAATGTTCAACAAATTGATTGGAAGCTGATCCAGGCCGTCCAGAATTGCCAATGTTATTATTGTTGTTATTATTATTCACTAATAACCAACTGGCTTGTTTTGGATTTGATAATCGTGTTGACAGTAAATCAACTAGGCCACTGCTAACAATGTAACTGAGAAAATCCTAAATAAAAAATATACACAGAAGAAACAACAGGTTATGCAATGCAATATCAAAATTTAAAACAAGCGATTTTTTATCAAGTGTTGGTTCGCAGGGAATTGATTGGTTACGGGTTTGACTACGGGCTGATATCAGTTAGAGAACCACTGGAAAACTATCAGGGAGTACTGCCAGACAGCTATTTCATCCTAGTTTCGGACTCTTCGGCAGTAAGTGTCCACCGGGGTTCAAACCTAGGACCTTCCGGTCACAAGGGAAGCGCTCATAGACCACTCACTCACTGGGACCCGACCCAATGGCTAATGAATCCCAACTTCTGACAATTCGTGACTTATATTTGATGCAACCACTAGCCAGTGAGTGTCACAGGCGAGTAATTTCTCTCCTACCTAACTTGGTGGATCCCACCGGTCACATGACTTCTCACTAAAACCGCAGAAAACTTCCTGTATAGGGTCAGTTGCTGCTAACGAGCATCAGATTAATTGTCAAGTATTGGTTTCATTCCTTGCGTTCCGAATGAACTATATGGGGGGAGGGGCCTTAGAAATTTCAGGAGCGGTAATGATTTTGTTTTGCTTTCCTAAGGGGTGGGGTAGTCAGTGGGACATTCTCAACCCCCTCTCCCTTCACCGCGGCTTACTACCTGCTAGGCGAAGTTTTCCAGTGCACCAACTAGGAATCGAACGCGAAATTGCCCCAATGAGGCGGGTCTTTCCAGACACTGTGACTAGAGTCAGGGGACTGGATATGAAGATACTTAATCTACTATTACATTGCATAGCGATAAAATCATATCGTCAATTGTGAGGAATTATGATTATCAGATTCAAACTCCACGAATGAATTTCACTAGGCTAGGTAGGCGTCGAAAGACAATGGATTCTTCAGTAGATCTTTGATGGGGTTATGGGATTCTATTGTTTAAGAGTTCCAAACTATAGAATTAAACACAAAAATTTACTGGTCTATTGGTTCTCCTGAAAGGAAGTAATCCTGACAAAAAGTTTCTGAATCATGTGCATCGGTGGTCGGTCGTCCAGTGAAAAATATTCCTAGGTTTGATCCCTGATGGAGATGGGTAATGGGTAAGAACTGATGAAGAGTCAGAAACAAGTGTCCAGTAATCCCTGCTGGTTTTCAGCGTTCTGTTTGTGAACAAACTTGAAGTCAATGAAATCCTTGCAAATCAAAAACATATTTACAATTACGAAGTGATCACGGATTGTTATAAGTTAGAGAACCATTGACAACCAGCCCCATAGCGTGTACTGGACAGCTACTTCGTCACCCTAGTTTGGGAATCATCGGCAGTACACACCCACCGCCAGGGTTCGAACCCAAGACCTCCCGGTTAAACGGCGAGCTAGTATACCATTAAGCCACCGAAACCTGATTCAATAGCCATTCTATGAATTCTAACTTCTACCGATTCGTGATTTCGCGCAACCACCAACCAATGTCATCGGTGGGAACTCCATCCTCACACTTAACAATTGGAGGATAGAGCTCACTGGTCACGACTTCTCACTAGAATTCAAGGAAACTCTGTCGTGTAGCAAGTCACTAACAATTACAATTGTTAGATATTATTCGTCCTGAACCAACAACATCAGTTAAAAAAAGATCATTGAAAATCAAGAAGCACTGGACAGCCAGTCAGCTGTTTCGTCCTATTTTGAGACTCCTCATCAATGCGCACCCACTCACCCACCCCATCAGGAATGGAACTCGGGATATTCAAGTTACTCACTAATCAGTGTTTGAAAAAAAAACAGAAATGCCAGTCAAATACAACAGTATCGAGCTTACTTGAACTCGTTGACAGTCAACTTTGAAGTGTTTCCCAGATTCATGAATACTTGAAGAATTGTGAAGACTATGTACAGAATTATTCAGAGTAGATGGAGTAGTACTTCTAGTGACAGCAGGAGAAGAAGACGTTGGAGTGGTATGAGTAGAATCTCGTATAGTTGTTGAACTACTTGTATTATTGTCCATATTATTAGAGGAGGAGGAGGATAAATTTAACTCACATAACCCATTCAGTAGGTTAGTTAAAAAGTTTAATAAATCCAATGTACACGAATTACCAGAATAACAATGAAAATATGATGAATCATGATGATCTGATTGATCTGTGGGGGGAGTAGTATTCACTTCTGATGTTGACGAGAAGTTGTTAGCGTTAAAATATCGATTGCTTGGAATACACACCTATAAATTACAATAAATATTCTTATGAAAATAATCCTGTTTGTCAAAAGAATGGTTACTAAATAATAATAAAAAATACTCTTTTCGATAACTTCATCATTAGATTCCACAGTTATATATACATAATAGTGAATGAATGAATTAGTGTTAATAACAACATTAATGTTGTTTAAATAACATCAAATCATCAATGTTAATATCAGTGGATTACAGTTCGACAGCATCAACATAAGAATACACACTGAATATCAGAGAAATTAGGAAAAGTAATACTATAAATTCATGAATTTACAGTCTCCACTGAAGGTCAGGGCAGTGGTAGTACCTGGCTGGACTTGCTTCTTTAACACACACAAAGCACTGGTTGTTTCACGTGAATCGCGATAGCCTCTGATGTTTGGAGCATGTGGTACCTCGATGTTTTTGGCAATTTATTCGGTAGTCGGGTAGATGATAGAGAAGGATTCTTCAATGCTGGCTTTGTCTATATATAATTATGTTCACATCACTGAGTTCCCCACGCACACAAGAAATGTGAAAAATGTACATACTACTATATATAACGTCCCCATCCTTCCATCTGGACCAACGTGAAGAACCTAGAAGACCTGGATTTCGCGGATGATTTATGTTTGATGTCACACAAAATCGAAGACTTACAAGCGAAAACCAACAAACTGGTCGAAGAAGCAGCAAAGACAGGACTCCAGGTGAACATAGACAAGACGGAGGTTATGAAAATAACCAACCAACCAACAACTACAACAACAGCAACATCCAGTGCCAATCACCATCAACGGGAGGGATTTGAAAGAGGTTACTTCTTTCACTTATTTAGGGAGCATTGTCTCAACCACAGGAGGAACGGACGAGGATGTCAAATTGAGAGTCGGGAAGGCGAGAAACACATTCATCAACCTGAAACCAATCTGGAAATCTTCGTCACTCAGCATCAACAACAAAATTCGGATTTTCAATACAAACGTCAAGTCAGTTTTGCTATACGGATCAGAAACTTGTCAGGTCACAAAGAATATTTCCAACAGGCTACTGCAGACCTTTATCAACAACTGTCTTCGCTGGCTCTATACTGAAGATTAGATGGCCGAAAAGAATCACAAACAAGAAGCTATGGGAACAAACGAAACAGGAACCAATCGCCCAACAAATATGCAGGAGAAAGTGGAGATGGATTGGACACTCGCTGAGGAGGGAGGCCGTTGGGTGACATCGCGCGTCAGGCCATAGCTCGAGTGAAACCCGAAAGGGAAGCGGCGAGTGGGACGTCGGTGCAAGGGTGACATGGAGGAGATCGTGTGAAGAGGAACTGGAACAGTATGAATTAACATGGATGCAAGTGAAAAGTACAGCAGAAGACAGAAGCAAGTGGAGACGTGCAGTTGAAGCCCTATGTTCCCATAGGAACCCAAGGGAACAATACATCCTTCCATCTGACATTTTAGCAACAGCAACGCTATACAACCAGGATCTCGTAAATAATAATACACAAGGGAAAATTATGATTCAATATATTTTAACATATAATATTACAAATATTGAAGGGAAGTCAGCCGATTCTTTAAAAAAGTCACTTCACGAGGCTAGGCACTCAGGGTGTTTCAGTTAGTGTTTCAACATGGTTTAAAGACCTAGAGCACGTGTCAAAAGAAGCATTCCCAACAGCCTGATGTAGACATTCATCATTAAATAGCTGTCTTAGTTCCATTTTGAGGACTAAATAGCCAGAAAGTACAAGCAACAAGGAACTCTGGCGACGAAACAAACCAGGAGCCTATTGATAAACAAATATGTGGAAGAGAACGAAGGTGGATTGGAAATATGCATAGAAGATAATCAGAGGACACTACATCCTAGGCCTTCGAGTAGAACCCGAATAGAGGTGTATGATCATGTGAAGAGGAAATGTATGCTTATGAGCCAGACATGGGATCAGATGAAAACGACAGCGAAGATCAGAGCGAAATGACAACAGAAATTGTGATTATTCAAGTTAACTAGAGTCTTTACAATTAAATCCACATCACAATCAATACAATGGTTGGTAATGACTAACAGTAAAATCGAAGGAGCACGTTTCATCCCAAAATGGGATGTGATGATGTGATAGTGCTCCCAAAGACACCTGAACCCAGGACCCGTGAATTTCAAACATCACAACGCTATCCACTAGGCTACTGAACCACAAAAGAGCCACATCTTCTGCAAGACGTATTAGTTGTTATTTTCTTAAATTTCGCATTGATTAATTTTTTATTGGGCCGAAATTTCAGTTTTCTGAGGATATGTCGGCTCCAGGTACAGATACTTCAGCTATGCCCTGAAGTGTGGTAGGGTGAATTACATGACAAACACAAACAGACTGTGCATTAGTGTGTAATGGATTCAAGTTGTCACATCTCATACCTGAACCCAAAAATCAGGCTACTATAAGTCACATCCAACTGTGTAATGTCTGAAGTGCACGAGACGGGTGGGATCCAAACCTACTTACTTACTTTACTTCGGCTATCTCCTACGGGAGGATGAGCCGGCTTCATGAACATCTCGAATCATCGCTGCCCAGGAGTGGCGATCTGATGCAACGTTTTGCGACAGGGTTGTCCAATTAAGAGAGTTCATGAAGTTTCATGGGAATTTGGTACGAGTGATGTCCCCAGAATCGCTCGGCCTTTTGTTTGAGAGTGCAGCTCTAGCCTTTACACAACCAAGTGTGACCTACAAGGCAGTAGCAGTGGAGTAGGGAGTCCACCATCCATTGGCAGCCGGTGACCGGAGTTCGGTTCATACGCCTTTTTGAATGGGGCCAGACATCCAGGACATCCAACAAGCCTTTTGTCCATACGTCTGCCGGTGAGCTCCAGTGAGCTGCATACGCCAGTCGTTGGAGGTTTGGAATCAGGGTTTAGCCATCTCCTCTAGACTGCCATCCAATGGACAGTCAACCCGGTGAAGAGCGCCGGGCATCCACTTTCGCCCTCTCACTTTGGTGAAAAACACCTCCGCCACGTGAAGGCAGTGAGTAGGACTTCCTCAGGAGAGGCTATGTAAGACGCCTGGTCATATGGGAGCATTTCGAGAGGTGTGCGGAAGGGTGGCCAACCCGCAGCGCAAGGCACCCACCCCCGACCATCCTGAGGCTTTGGAGGCTTTGGGATCCAAACCGATGACCTATTGACTGAAATTCAAGTGATTATTATGCTGCAATGCTTCATATTTACACACCTGAAAATAAAGTACGGAAACCCGAAGAAACTGGATGGTTACAATTAGAACGAATGCATCGGAGGCACTGCAATCGATTTTAAGCCTAGTACTTCGGTCGGTTTTCGACATAGAACTTTGCACATATGTGCGAAAGTTCAAGTCGCCACACTCCCTTCTTGTAGCACACAAAGCAAGAGAAGAAAGTAGAAGAAATGCATATTAGAGACAGTAAACAGAGGTGTGAGACGAAAGAATAGTAATATCGAAGAACAATACAGTTTCATTGGAAATCATAAGTCACAAGGAGTGGATGCATCTGCGCCATCACTGAGAACGATTTTGAGCCATGTCACCAATTGTTTCCAACCATTGGTTTTTACCATCCCGAGGACCCCAACCAGGAAGTCTACACCTTCCTACGTGGCTGGCTTAAACTAACTGATGTAGATTTCATTGACTGATGCCATGTTTTCGTTTGACCGCCGCTAGCTCTTTTCCAGTCCGGCCCTATATCAGCTAACATTGCCCGTCGAGGAAGGCGATGACTAGGCATACGTAACACATGTCCTAACCATCTCAGTCGATGTAACTTCACAGTTTCGTCGACTGATTTCCCCGCCTTACCTAGCACTCGACGCCTAACCTCAATATTGCTCACCTTATTATACCACTTCACACGGAAGATAGAACCCAGACACCTATGATCGAAGACAACTAATCTTTTCATGTCTTCTGCTCTCAATGGCCATGTCTCACAGCCATAAAGGAGGACGGAGCGGACTGTTGAGCAGTATACACGCCCTTTGGTCGATAGCCAGTCAGATATCACGTCTACTAAGCCAGAGACGGCGTAAAGTGGCATATGCGAACCTAGCCCTCTGTATTCATGCTCAGATTTCGTCGCCTAGTACTTACAGTAGCTAGTCATCTTTATCAGTTGTCAGAAATATTTAAATCACAGTGGTCTACACTGGCACTCTACCCCAACTTTACTTTCGTCAACATAACAAAATGAAGTAAAAATATAACCGAAAAATCCCACCGAAACGATCCAATTACAATACTGATAGTTATTTGGATATTTCAACTAACTCTGTAACTGTTAGCCATTTTTCTCCCCTACTGTATATCATCACTTTGACATTTGCATATCAAATGTTGACTCTATCCTCATTATTTGTTTTTATCACACTGTTTAACCCCAAATTTAGTGCTTCACTTTGTGGTTGTATGTACATTGATAATGTGTTGTACTGTAGCGTGTGCTACTCATAAGATTTGTCAGTAGTATATATATAAAGGGTTGTTCATCGGCATAAGACCACCTCTGCATTCAATTCCAGATACGGCAGTAGGTGACTTGCAGTCCATAGATATGATGGGTCCATCCCCGCAGACGTCCAGTGGCAATCGGTACCTCTTGGTGATGACGCAGCGCACGCTACACAATAGGTAGACACCATAGTGATCCCTGATCAACGCGCGAGAACCATGACTGACGCAGTAGTAGTAGTTCGATACATCATTGCGTACCACAGTATACCAAATAGCAAATAAACACTTCTTTACTAAGTCTCTCGTCTTCTGCCGTTACAGTCCAATGTGATCTTCAGTGGATCACGGTCATTTCTGACCTTGAACTACCTGCGGAAAACGTTGGTGTGCAATTCTTATGGAAAGAGTTTTTGATCCAACATTGTTAGGAATATGTTACTTGATTTTAAGTACTTGTTTCCTACTTAGACTGAACTGTGTATAGCTGCTTAACGGCACTGTTGAGGTAATGTTGAGTTTTTCATGTTATCATTGTTTAACGGGGCCGTAAAATTATTCCAGAGTATAATCGACTTTTTCGCATCTTTGAAGAGTTTCGTCGTCACTGAGAGTGTGTCTCTAAAGGTCGTTTCGGTCAGCTATACAGAAGTAGCACGACGCAGAGATCGGTTTCCTGAGAGCACTCGCGTTCAGACTATAACAAGTCACATGTTGGTCGCTCTAGTAAGCAATAAGTGAGTAACTTCACAGTGTTGTTTGTTTGTCTGTCTATCCATCTAATCATCACAGTGACACAACTAAGAAATCTTTTTTTTAAATTTTAATTCTCTAGGTGAGTTTAACCTACACTTAACTATGTATTCTCTATAAAACCTTCTATCCACAGCATAAGCAAAAAGAGCATAAATTGACAAAATGCAACACACACACAAGGAATGGACTTTTCCGCTTTTAGACAACACTTAACCATTGAGAGTAAACCATTTCAGAGCATAGGAGATGTAGGTGAGGTGAATATAAATATATACAATAACCTTGAACCTTGTAGCTTATAATATCTTAGTAACCACACACATCTAAATATGGTATAGTAGTATTTTTATACTACTAATGTTTTAGAAGATGCTTGTGTCCTGTTGGATGTATGTGCGTGTGTGTGAATGACTAAGATTTATTTATAGTATGCAGAAAAGTACGCACACACAACTTTTGCATTCTTTTTGAACACTGCATAGACAACAACTGTAACTACATTAGAAATTGTCTGTCTGTCTATGTGGTCATCACAAAGACCTGTACACACTCTCTGTGACCGAAACAAAAATAAACGGTATGTTATTAAAGTAAATTTATTGATTCAAGTCGTTTAAACAAACATACTAAATATATATATTCAGGATAGTATATTAGAAAGCATAACAATTGTCCAAATTCTGTTTAATAGTGATATACATATATGCTGTAAACTAAGACAAGGTTGCCTGCTATCATTGATGTCACACTTCTAATTCTGGTGGACTGAATTGAAACAACAGACCGTGAGGAGTGAGAATATAGACATATATTACACCAACAAAGGACGCTCGCCGACCATGCACATGGTCCAGGGTTCGATCCCCGGCCGCCGCACTCCTTTACCTCGCTAAACCAGAAATAATGCTGGTGAAGAGGAAAGGTTGGGCACGAGGCTAGCAACCTCATCCTGTAAAATAAACACTGCTAGAGGAACTTCAAGCCACTAGCTTGAAGCCCTATGTTCCACTGGGGAACGTGAAGGAAAAAAGACACCAACAAAAGGGCTTTTAGAAGATCTGGACTTCGCAGATGATTTATGCCGATATATGACATAGAAAAACTCGAGGATCTACAGGCGAAAACCAAAAAGTTGGGAGGAGAAGCAGGTAGGGAAGACACGACTTTAAGTGAACACAGAGAAGAAAGAGGTCATGGATACATCTTATCAACAAAAACGACGTGCACCAATCACCATCAACGAGAGTAATTTTGACTGAGACGGTTAGGACATGTGTTACGCATGCATGCATGCCTAGACATCCATCGCTTTCCTTGCCCGACAGGCAATGTTAGCTGACTGACATATGATGGATGAGGTTGGAAAAGAGTAAGCTAGTGGTGGTGAACAAACGAAAACATGGCTTCATCGGTCAATATAATCCACAATAGTTAGTTTAAGCTAGCCAGCCAGCCAGTCACGTAGGGAGGTGTACACTAGCTTACTGACTGCCTGGTTGGCGTCCTCGCGATGGCAGAAAAACAATGAAGGCTGGAGACAATTGGTGATGTGGTTGGTGCAGATGCATTCACCCTTTTTGATTTATAATATCCAATAAAATTCTATTGTATCCTTCCATATTACTATTCTTTTTGCTATACTCACACTTCTGTTTATTATCTCTCTCTCTCTCTCGTTTGAATCTGTCTTTACTCTCTTCTCTTGCTTTGTGTAGTACATGAAAGGGAGTGTGGCAACTCGAACTGGTGCACATCTGTGCAAAGTTCTACGTTGAAACCAGTCAGTCGAATTGAGTCTATTAGATTTTTATTTAACAGAAACTGACGGTCAAACTAATCTTACGCTTTTAACTGAAATCACATTTTAAAGTGCAAGAAAGTTAGGCATAGTTGAAAGAAAACAAGCCCTGCAACCACTGACCGTTGATCTGAACACTAAACCCAGAGATGTGTACACCTCTACCTACCTGGCGCCTGCTACCCTGTCTCAATGCTAAGAATTAATAAGTTGCGGACTATTAATGAATTAATTAGCTGATAACAGCGAAATTATAAAATCCCACTGTTTATTACCAGTATTCCAAAAGTTCTTCTGACTGATGTTCACTTAATTAGTAATTATAAATTTGTGCAAGCTCTTAGGTACATTCATTTCTTTACCGTGATAATATTTATAAGGAAAGAGTAGCAGCATAGTTGCTAACTGAGCATAAAGAAAGATATTACAATAGAGATTTCGTCACGAAGCAAAATCAGTTAGAGGGGATACGTTTGAAACCAAAGTCAACTAGACCGCTATTTCGTCCTAGTTTAGGACACTCCACCAAACGTTAGCACACTCACGGTTGGAACATGTGGAACCTTCATTTTACAATGTGAGCCAGTCGACCATTCAGACCCTGGGGTTTGGATTTCAGTTAACCGAAGATTAAAATCCCTGATAAAAGATCATTTGTGTACACTACTGAAGAGTACAGAGCTAGGACGAAACAACAGTCCAGTGTCCCTTGGTTTTCAATGACGATGCAATTCACAATGTGTATATATATATAACAAAAAGTAAGAACTAGTACTCACCGAGAATCGAACAACAAGACAATCAACAAGTACTGAAACATCATTGGTCAATAGCATACGAATGTAGCCATCTGTATTTGAATAGCATAAGGCTTGTAACAGGTGACAAGCAATTTTATAAGTCCTATGTAGAAAATATATATATATATATATATAAGATAACAGGTATTACGAAATATATAAAATTATGAATACTGTCCAATTAGATAATAAATATATCTAGATAAAGCAATAAGAAGACGTAATTTGTCTGAATCGTATTTACCAATTTGAATGTACATGTGGACTAACATTCACATGGGGAGGACTTATAGATCTCTGCAGGTAAGGGCTGGCTTCAGAGCATATTCCTAAATGGCTTCAGAAACAAATGGAATCTTCAGAACCTATTAAAGGTGAGAACAGGAGACCTAGCTCCTCTCTTGCGAAACATATTATAGAGGAGACAGGACATAAAATTGACGTTAACAGATCTTTTAAACCTATCTACAAAACGTATTTTGGGGAGGGCGTATCCTAAAGTTTGTGGAAGCCCTAGCTGGCAGTTAGAAAGTTTAAACCACTTTTATGAGTTCAAAAAGAATTCGTTATCACACTAAACCTTCCTTGGTAAACTTTTTTTGATACTATTATTTGGTTTAGTGGTCTTCATTGTTACTTTGACCTTGAATATGTCCTTTTAACTTGACCTAAGTCTATTTTCTCACCTCTTACCTCTTTATTAATTTCATATATATTCCTATGACAAGTCCGTGTGTGATGGATCAGATTGTTCGAAATGTGTTGTGCGCAAATACAACATTACACACGATTCAGACAAATTACGTCTTCTTATTGCTTTATCTAAATAAATATATCATAAATTCTTCTCTTTGGAGAAATGTCTGAAGGATGCGGGGGAATGATCAGTGAACTTTCGATTATATACGAATTAAAAGCTACAGTTTTGAGTTTTGTTTGAACGCAGTCACTAGCTTATTTACTATTCATCCTAGTATACCACCTAAATGGGACATATCGTCACAGGACTTCTCTACGAGACAGTACTATGTTAATGGACAACATCAACCTGAAAACTTTTAATCACAACGTGTCACACACACACAATTTCAATAAGATAAAAACACCAGAGTTTTGACAAAATAAATCAAAGATTACAAGGAGAGAGCAAAGACTTGAAAGGGCCGCAGGGGGTAAACACGGTCCATGAAGGACAGAGGACCAGCGTCATTCAGAATTCTACTTCGGAATTAGGGTGGCATTTTAACCAACCAACTCTCTCAGAGATAAACTTTGTCAGCTTAAGGACCCAATAGATTCAATTTAGAAAAATAGCATAATTTACCAAGTACCATGTAATGACTGTGAGGTCGGTTACATAGGTCAAACTAGTAGAAATGACGTAACGCCGAGCCTATACCAGAGATATGGAAAGTGGCAGCAAACAACAAAGGAAGGTTGGAGAGACAGAATAGAGAGAAAAATATGTATATAAGACAAATTGTGAAACTGTGTGACTAAAATTGATATATGATTATGAGCAGTAATAATTTATGCTCAAAAATACCTTGTCATCTAGTTGTTAATACTGCATCTGCATCACTGTGTGTGATAATTAAAATAAACTTATCTAATATAGCAACGAAGAACTCTAACAACCAACCAACCAACCAAAGTTCTATCACCCAACAAATATACAAGAAGTAATAGAGATGACTGGTGAGAAGACCCTTGGGTGCCACACACACACACTACGTACCAGGACGTCAAGTAAAACCTCAATGAGAAGCTGTGAGTTGGGCGTACAACACTGACAAACAGAGGATCGTGTCAGGTGGAAATGAACGGTTATGGGCAATCGCAGAGACAAAGAAAAAAAAAAAGAAAAAAGGGCTCCAGGGAACAGAATGGAATGGATATGTGCTGCTGAAGCTGCCCTATGTTCCCACTAAGAACCCAAGAGGAAAAATAACGATACATTATATATACATATGATATAAAGTTAGCTAGAGAATTAACAAGTTTTTTTTTAAAAAAACAACATACTTTTCTGGTACCAATTGAGTCGATGATGGTTTCTGTTCTCTGATTAAACCAATAAGACTTGTTAGTACAGATAATAAACCACTGAGAATGCAAACTTGTCGATCTGATGAATTATCTGATATAGACGGTTTACGTTGTTCATTTTTATTCGAGAAATTTGGATTTGCCTGCAAAAAAAGAAAAGAAATTTATGAAGAAATATTAATTTTAGTATTTATTTCTTACTGATTGAGTAGAGTTTCATGGGATTAGGATATTTGCTGATTTTAGGCTGATGTGGCTTGATTTTATGATAAAATGCTCGCCAACCAAACAGATGATCTGGTTTGGACTCCCAACCGACGGTCGGTCGATAAGATACCCGAGAAAGAGGGAATTTTGGGCGCCATAGGCTACCAACCCTACCTCGTAAAAAACCATCACCACTACTTAAGCTTGGAAAGCTTGTAGGCGTGTGTTCCACACAAGAAAAAAAGGAATATTTTCATCGGTAGCGTATGACCTCCTCCTCTGTGTTACAATCAGACACTTGAGTCGTCGATTCTCACTCAGGCAATCTCCCCCCCCCCCCGCTCTCCTCGAAAGCATGCATCGCGTGGGATGTCGTCACTCAACAGTCTCCTGAGTGTATGATCCCACCATCTCCAACCACTTTTTCTCTGTATATCTGTTCACCAGACACAACTTAGCGAGAAAAAATTGAGACTAGGAGTAATAATGTACTGGTCACGTTTAGCAGATTTTCCAAGCGTCTACCATCGACAACTGTCGAACTGGTTTTCGCTGAAAATTCTTTGCCAATCGACAATTTAGTTTCACTTTAAGAGAAAAAGGAATGAATAATGGAGTCAGAAAACTAATTGTACAGAAACAGTCTTAACTGATTTATGATGCCTATCATGAATTTTTGAACGACTGAGATTATTACCTTGAATAGTACCTAGCCAGATATGAATGAAAAACAAAACACGTGTAGTTCAGCGAAGAGTCTCTTTCCACCGGAGAATACATTCACACTTAGCTGTACATAGTCACAATTATATATAATTATTTTTGAATGTGTGTGTGTGTACATTAAATCTCAATATAGAAAAAATCCCCATTTAAACATTTAGAAAACAGAAAGATTGAGCGAAGAAATATTTACAGTGCGTCGGTGGTACAGTGGTTAGGATTCTCCCCAACCGTAAACATGGTCCGGGGTTCGATCACCCGCCGGCGCACACCTGGTATCTATGTTCGGCCTGCGAAATTTGGGCTACCGATATTGCATGCTGAAAATTCCATACCTGTACCAAAAAATACGGTGTGGAATCAAGTTGTAATAAAAAAAATTAGATCGTCATCTCACTGTGGCTCTACTCTTATAGACACGTATAGCATTTTTATTACAATACACAACAATTTACCAATCAAGTGGCACTGATATGTTTGTTAACAATAATTAGTCAGTGTCAAAATGTCAGTGGGGGTGATAATAAACGAAGAAAATCAATACAAATTTAAAAGGTAGAAATGGTTAGAATAAATTAATTTTTCAAGGATAACACGTAATTAAAGATGAAGTGTTCAGAAAAAATAATTTGGACAATTATAATTTTTATAATTTTAAAGGTTTAGGGGGAGGGGGCGAAGTATTCGGGTTTACACATTCATGTAACGATGGCCAAGGCAAGGAAAGTGGCTGCACAAATTTCTTCTGAATACAAGGGTTCGGCTTCATCAGGTGGATTCCTATTGTTTCAGCTGTCTGTAGAAGACGAACTCGTAGAGCCACTTGATTGGTAAACTGCTGTGTGTTGTAATAAAAATGCTACATATATTAGAGTAGAGCCCCAGGGGATGAGGATCTAATTGAAAAGTAAATATTTCTTCGCTCGATCTTTCTACATTAGATCTGTCAGACAAGATTGGAAATTAGTTAGGGTTACTGTTTATGTTGTTAAAATACTTCAAAAAATGTGATGAATAATCAAATTGTAACTGTGGTGTGTGTAGCGGGGGGTGAAGATTAGTAAGAGGATAGTGGTGATGTGTTGTCAAAAAAGCATAGTTATTAAGTTTAATCAACACATAGAAGAAGTTGAATAAGCGTTATACAGTTACGTAATAAGATGAGTAGCTTAATAAATGAATTATGATTAGGGTGTATACATAGAAACGAAGAAAAATATGGAATTATGTAAGAGTTGTGGTGAAATATAAGAGTTATGAGGGGTTCGAAAAGCAGCCACGCAAACACCAAGTCAGTAGAAATCAATACGGTTGTTACCACGATAGTAGAAGTGGTTGAATGAGTTTCATTTGTATGCATAACTCTGATTTTATCAAGTGAATGGCTAAGGCTTCAGCAATACAACAAAGAAGATGAAAGCGTATTACCTTTGGCAGGTTATTCTTTTATTACCTTGAAGGAGAGGGCGTTTGTTGAGATAGAATAACCACTGTTGAACTGATACATACACTGTTACTGTGGAGCCAGGTACAATGGTCGTTCGATGCATATATTGTCCAAAACGGTTCCAGAACACTATCCTGCAGGGTCGCAGAAAGGTAGTAGTGGCTGTATAAGGAGTGCGACCATCGAACACCTTGTCAACACTAACCATTCCATTTCAACAAACAAGGGGGGAAGAATAACCTACCAAAGGCAATAAATACGCTTTCGTCTTCTTTGTATCGCTGACGCCATTAGCCATTCAATTGGAAAAACCAGAGTTATGCATACAAATGAAAATCATTTAACCACTAATTCTCTTAAGGGAATTGTTATGGTTTCTGCTGTTTAGAATGTACAGTACTTAGTAACCTTTGTGAATTTACTTGATACCCGATAGATAGATAACCCAATTATGGACCAGATGACCTAATATAAAACAGTGAATAATAGTCTTTACACTACACCTTTATTTACGACCACTGGTATGTATTCATGAGTACCAGAGATTACGTTTCTAGAGCAACAGTCAATACAACTGGCTTCACAAATGCTTTTGAACTATACTCTATTGATAGTATTGTGTCAATGTTGTTTTAAAAAAAAACATTTATGTTGTTAGTGAGTCGATGGTTCAACGGTAGACTACTCGCCAACCATGCACATGGTCTGAGGAGTTCAATCACGGACCGACGCACTCCTTGACTTCGCTCAGCCACCCGCAGTAAGTTCGGTTAGGACGGAAGGTTGGCTGCAAGTCTAGAAACCCCACTCCCCTCATAAAAAATACACACCACTGCTACCGAAACTTCAAAGCCCTATATTTCACTCTGTCTATCTGTCTGTATTGTGCGTCGGTAGCACAGCGGTTAAGACGCTAACCGACCATGCACATATGTGCAAAGTTCAAGTCACCACACTCCATGTAGCACACAAAGCAAGAGAAGAAAGTAGGAGAAATGCATAATAGAGACAGTAAACAGAGGTGAGAGACAGAGAAATAATAGTAACGAAGAACAATATAGTTCCATTGGAAATTATAAATCACAAGGAGTGGATGCATCTGCACCAGCCATCACTGAGAACGATTTTGAGCCATGTCACCAATTGTTTCCAACCATTGGTTTTTACCGTCCCGAGGACCCCAACCATGAAGTCTACACCTTCCTACGTGGATTAAGCTAACTGTTGTGGATTTCATTGACTGATGAAGCCATGTTTTGGTTTGACCGCCGTTAGCTCTTTTTCAGCCTGACCCTATGCCAGCTAACATTTCCCGTCGAGGAAGGCGATGACTGGGCTAGGCATGCATGCGTAACACGTGTCCTAACCATCTCAGTCGATGTAGCTTCACAGCCATGTCGACTGATTTCCTCTCCTCCTCACCTAGCACTCGACACCTAACCTCAATATTGCTCACCTTATTATACCACTTCACGCGGGAGATAGAACGCAGACACCTATGATCGAACACAGATAATCTTTTCATGTCTTCTGCTCTCAATGGCCAGGTCTCACAGCTATAAAGGAGGACGGAGCGAACTGTTGAGCAGTACACAGGCCTGTTTGGTCGATAGCCAGTCGGATATCACGTCTACTAAGCCAGAGACGGCGTAAACTGGCATATGCGAAACTAGCCCTCTGTATCCGTGCTGAGATTTCGTCAGAGATCAACCCGTTGGCACTGGCTGATGCAACTTTCAAATAAGTGAAGTGATCAACGTGCTCTACCACTTCACTCCCTACTTCTAAGCTAGGAGTCAATGTAGTCCAATCCTGTAACATCATCTTACATTTGGCAGGAGCGAATTACATGCCAAACATTCGTAGATTGCAGCTCAAGGTGTTCAGAAGACTTTGCATTTTTTCAGTGCCCTCGCCTAGAAGGACTATATCGTCTGCATATTCTAAGTCAACAAGACTATTCCCTGGTAGCAGGTCAATCCCTGAGTCTCTGAAGTGAGTTAAGGTTAAGTCCATTAGTAAATCCACGATGAGATTGAATAGGAATGGGGATAATGGGCATCTCTGACGGACACCACAAGTCGTTAGCACTATATTTCACTCGGAACGCACAGGAATAAGAGAGAAAGGTGTTAATAACAATAATTCTCTGACTATTATGAATGACATATAACTGTAGGAACTGATGAAAAAGTTACCGAAAAGAACTTATTTCACTTTTAAGAAATACACACACATACACAAACAGAGAGGTTAAAGATAAATACAGCTCACCTTAGACTGAGTATTACAAAGATATCGTAACAATGCATTCAGGCTTTTTTCCATTGCTTGAACACGTGTAATAACCCATGGACCAGAATCAGGAAGATTCAGAAAACGTCGTGCATCTTTGATTAATTTCACCAGCCTGTTCAACACAGAGAAAGTCATGCATGCACAGAGAGATATGAAATCAACGTGGAACATGAATAGCAAAATTAGCATAGACAATATGATGCATATCAACTTCTTTCTACACAATCACTTATATTTATATCTTCTCTGAGTTTTTCTATTTGTTTGTGGACGTTTCAATATGCGGCCTAGACAGTAAATATAATGAAATCCAGGTGTTTTGTGTATCTAGGCAACTAATCTACCAATCAGAATTCTTCGGTTGGATATATATATGTGTGTGTGTGTGTGCAACTCAACCCATGATGCTCTATTTCCAGAGTGAATTAAATTTATAATCGATTAATGAGAACACCGAAAGCACCATTTACACTAACTCCTTAAAAAAATTTAATGAAAATGTAATTAATGAACAGTATTGTGGCCAAAACAGAATAACTTGGCAAAACAATCAAACGAAGTCATAACAATATATGTGTAAAACTTGGGCACTGTGGTAGTAAGTAATTCCACATGAGTTTGTTTATCAGATATATCATCACACAGTAATGAAACAGTATTATTATTCACTGAATGACAAAGTTTCGAACAGAATTTATTACTGTTCGTAATCATAGCATCAATTATAATCACACGACTTCGAAACTTGAGTTTTATGGTTTTCTTTGTTCTCTCCTGTTCAAACGCACAAACTCAATTAGAAACAAGCTTTCTCGGTTAAAGGATCCTGCCTGTGGAGCCCTTTTTGAAACAAAACAATATAGCTTACCTAAAATCGTACTGGAATTGTTGTCAGGTCAAATACATAGGTCAAAATTAGTACAACAGGGGCAGTCAGTCAGACTAGCCGAGCATAAACACCTAGCAAGATCTAGATTAGTTGACGCGAATAAGATAAGGAATCTGGGGAATAATTCAGCTATAGCACTACACGCAATTGCACACAACCATACAATAGGATGGGATAGGATGACAGTTGTAAAATCTAATGTAACAGGATGGAGGGAGAGATTGATAACGGAAGCTTTGTTTTTCGAATCAACTGACAGGGAATACGTGTAAAAGGAATGATTCAACACCTGTCCACCCAGATATCTGGAAAATTCTACTACTCCTACGATGACAAATACTAGAGAACAAAGAAAACTATGAAACTCAAGTTTCGAAGTCGTGTGATTACAATTGATTGGTATGATTATGAACAGCAATAAATTATTGTGTTCGAAACTTTGTCATCCAGTGAATGATAATACTGTTTCACAGTCTGTGTGATATATCTAATAAACAAACTAATACGGATAGAGAAAAGAGTTCACATAGGATCACTAAGGAGTAGACGGCAATCGTTCCAACCAAGTTTGGGACCTCACCAAAGATCAAACTCAGCACTTTCAGGTTACGAGACTAGCCTAATGTCAGTTTGTGTTTTAACTTCAAAAATCAATCAAATCTCTACAAAACAACAATTGAAAACTAGCCTACAGCTCACTAGAAAAACTGACTGCCTGGAGTTCTAGTGATAATTCGTGGCCACCAACAGAGGCTTTTGAGAAGACATTGGCTGGACTGGAAGCGGCTTTTTATGTCGCGAACTGGCGGAAGTTAGAATTTATGAGCTACTGGATTCCTCCACAGTCTCGCCTCGCAACCTGATGGTATTGGGGTGCAGCAGTGCAGTACTTCCTAGTTTCCAGTAATTTTCTAATCAATGTTTGCTAGATAGTGGTTTAACTTGATATCAATCGAATCCTATCAAACCAACCTAATAAAATAAATTAAAAAATTACAATGACAAACTTGTCTTTCGAATGAATTGTAGTTTTTATGGCTATAATTAGCTGAATAAATAACCCTTTGATGTTGAAAGAAGTTAGGATACAATCACTTGGAAAACAGATTTTTCTCATTCCAAAGTGGTAGTCAAACTAACTGTGTGCGAGTTGATGATATTACTATTCATCTGCCTAGGCTGTACTAAAAAAAATAGGGGGAACAGGGTTTCGAACCTGGAACCCAATGACTGTAAATTAACTATTCAAGCTGATAGGAACTAGCATAAAATAGTATATCATCCTCTCTCACGAATCTTGTGATTTATTATAAGATGTAGTTACTATGTTAATACGTCGTTTCTCACACATATTGTGATCTATTGTGTGATCAATTCATCATCTTTTGTCTCACTTCGGTCTTTGTCGGATCACTAAACAATTAGAATAGCTATAGCCAGACAATAAGAACAATCCATTCACACGGTTGTGAGCTGACTTTAGCGTTGTAAAGATAATGTATAAGTATCATGTGATATTTTTCCTAATGGGTGTACAACAGTACAGTATCTTACGTTCACAGGCCAATCTTTGTATTTTGATATTTGCGTGGCTCAGTGAAGCCGAAGGTACAACGGACGAATAGGCGTGTTAGCCATACCAGTCTAGTTTATTACCGTTATAACAATTGACAATGCAGATATAACACAAGCCAAAAGAAGAGATGACGGCTAGATTCAACCTTCATTGATGATATTCACGACAAGAACTTAGGAGCTAAGCAAACATTGAACACACACACACCGCACACACACACACAAAAGGTTAGACATTACATCACTAAACCATTTACAAGAAATCAACAGCATTGAACAGTTAAGAAAATTTCTTTAAAAAAAAAATACTTACTGAGGTTTATATGGAGAATCAGGTAGAGGAATTTTCATCTGTTCAATTTCTTTCAAAAACAATAAACCTCTACAATAACAACAGCAAAAAAATACGATACATACAATCTTGAATTGTAGTGCATTAATTCATTTACTCAGAATAGGATATATTTATACTACTCTATTCACACAGCCAATGAGAAGTACAGATAGAAGAACTGCAAGTAAAAATGGTATGTAGATAAGTTGGAAAAATTGAAACATGATGCCTACAGGTCAAAATGTTTGTGTTCATTACACAATTCAGTAATCAAACAGATGGAATTTGCTTTTCATAATAAAACACACAGGCACGCACACACAACCTCAGTGACGAACAGAACACAAAGGTGAACTGGTTATTCAAACGAAATGAAGAATAGTGAGAGTTTATTAATTCCAGAAGATAACACGAAGTGAGTGCATATGTGGTGACTAAGAACTACCATTCCTTAACCATTCGTCTACAGTCTACATCTCTCTACATAACTCTAACCAAAAAGCAAAGACTTCATGGACTGATATCCAAATTAATCTTATGTTAGCTAACATTGATGGACTAGGAAGACAGACGTCGATTCAATTCCACAACTCCATCGACTGATATGCTCTCCCTACCCAATGCATCTGTTTAAAAAAAGAGACAGCTCAGTCATGCACTTCTCTAGTTGATGAAAGATATTATAATTTGAGTTAAAAATATTACTTGTTATAAAACAAGTTATGTGGAGCTGTCAGTCACTGGTTCGAACGTCAGACTTTTAACCCCTGGATCAGGGAGTTCTAAGCAGACTACAACGACCATGGTTTCGACGGTTAGCTAGCATCATATCTATATATATATATATATATATATATCAGATTGTAGCATGTGCTACTGATAAGAATTATCAGTAGTATATAAAGAGACGTTCATTGGCATAAAATCATCAAATAGCAGGGAGATAGATACATTTGATTTCAGAGAAGGCAAATGATACAGCGTTGTGTTGGAGATACATGGAAGACGTGAAAGGAACACAAAGAAACACACACACAATATGAAGGAACAAGAGAAGTAGCACAACACGAAGATCTGTGCAAATGGTGTGTTCAAGATAAGGGATACATAATTCGGCTATAATGGAGATGCCAAACTGCAAATAAACATTCCTTTACTGAGTCTTTCGTCTTCGACCTTTACACTGCTGCTTGATTTATACAAATTTCAGTGAGCATAAGTTCCTTTTTAAAATTTTGAGATAATACTTTGATTGACTCCATATCTATCGAACACACTAAGCCACGAAACAGTGGTATTGAATAAACATTAATTAGATACTGCCAGACAGTAACTAATGTCCAATTAAAGCATCCATTACAGTTCTACAAGAGATCAATCGCAAGCTTAAATAGCTCAGTGGTAGGTAACGTCTCTGACAGCAACACTGAATGACACTGGTTCAAATCTCAGAGAGGATACATGAGTTCATTCAAGACTGCAGGTACACATTGCGCTGACGAAGGGCAACAAGCACTAAACCTAGGTAAAAGGCTTCCTGACGATGGCCTCCAACCATCCAATAACAACTATTCAGGTTGATGAATATCTCAATTGATCGATAGATTTAGAATAATTTATATATTTAAGAATAGAATGTTATACAAGTCATCATCCAAGAATTAATCAATAATGTGCATTTGAAATCACCAAAAACAGTGTTGAAAAAAAAAAGAAAAACTAACCTTTGATTCATTTTTTGTCTCAATTTTCTAGTACGTTTTCTACGCAATCTTAATCGTTCTTGTTGTATATCATTGTAAGGATGTGACATTTCAGTAGGTGCATCAACAAGATGAGATAAGTTGAATGCTTCCTGGTGGTGGTAATAAAGCAAAATCAATAACAGAATCAGTGATCAAAGAAAAAAACTAACTCTTGTCTCGGAATAAAGAAAAAGAACACCAATTATTCAAAGAGGACGTACTGTTGATTCATTGAGTTTTCAGTGGAACATAAGACTTCAAGTCTTGAGCTATGAAATTTCAGTAGGGTTGGTGGTGTTGGCGTTGCTAGACGGCTCAAGTCTAACCTTCCCAATTTTGAGGCCGAGGGGGCTTACTATCGCGCTTAGGCGATGGTTTAGCACTGTGTTAGTCAAAAATTGAACCTAAGCCTTCTCTATATGTTAAAGAATGTTATTTATATAAAGTTAGGTATGAAAATATGGAAAATGGTTTTCAAGTGGGGAATATGTCTTCCTATGTCTAATCACACACACACACATATATACACACTGTGCACTTTAAATTAAAGATGGTCCATGCTATCAGCAATTAAACAGAAACCAATGGTTGGAGTGGAATAGCTCAGTGACAACGTCTCTGACTGTAGCAATAGATGGTGACCCAGGTTCAAATCTCCGAAAGGACACGAGTTTCTCCAAGTTTGTGTTAACTGTTTTCGATCATAGATGTCTACGATCTCTTTCTCATGTTAGGTGGTATAATAAGGTAAGTAATGTTGACGTCAGCCGTAGTGTTGGGCAAAGAGGGAAAATCAATCGTAGAGACTACAAAGTTACATAGATTGAGATGGCTAGGTCACGTGCTGCGCATGCCTAACCATCGCCTCCCCCGACGGATGGGCATTACTAGCTGATATAGGTGCAGGTTGGAAAAGAGTAAGCGGTGGCCAAACAAAAACATGGCATCAATCCATGAAATCCTTGACAGTAAAACTGAGTCAGGTAGGGAGATGCAGACTTCCGGGTTGGGGCCCGCCCTCGGGACTCTAAGAATAAATGGCTGGAGACAATAGGTGACATGGCTCAAAATCGTTGTCAATGGCTAGCGCAGATGTATTCAGTCTCTGTAATCTTTCATATTGCTTTCTACCATTACTCATTCTGTTTCACTCGTATACTTGTCAAAACTCTACTGATTCTCTTCACTCATTTTATTGTCTACCTGTGTGGTATTTGGAATGTGGCAACTTGAACTTCTGCACTTCGGTGCCAGGTTCTATGTTGAATCCAGACAGAAGTTTGTGTGTATATGGTCTCGGGATCGACCCCCGGCTGACACGCACACACCTACACACCTCTCTAAGCCATTAGTAAGCCTAGTAAATAGGTGGTAAGGCTGGGGGGCGGGTATAAGGCTAGCAACCCCCACCCCCGTAAAAAAATATAACAGCCACTGCTACTACTGCAAATTCACAGCTCAAAGCCTGAAGCCCTATATGTTCCACCATGCAATCTAAAAAGGTTGGTCAGAGGACGATTAGAGCTAGAATAACAGTGATAACCCCATTTCTCTGAAGTTTTAAACATTTAGAACTTATGAGAACTGGGAAAAAGAGATCTCAACAACCGAAACTCGAGTGTATAGTACTTTAGATATACATACACATATATATATATGTATGATTTATGATACAAGCGTACAATGTTCAGGTATAAGTGATTCAGTTAACACGATGAATCGATAAAAATTCACCTTATGACTGTTAGATCGATAACTTACCCAGTCAGGAGTTAGAACTCATTGTGATTAAACTTCAGAACGAAAAAAAGACACTTTACTGTTATTACCAGATGATTTATTGGAGAACGACACATGATGGATGATACTCCTTCTAGAATTGTTAACCATAAACTGAAGGAATGCATTACAGCATATACACGAGTTATTCTTCACACACTCAGAGACACACAAATGACGCTGTTAGTGAACAAGTGATATCATCATCATCACCATTCATGTGACTGACACATTCACTATTCAAGCAGTCAAAAATCAGAGTCAAACACCGGCATCCTTATTACCACCTCATCAACACTGCAAATCAGCATCATCAATGAATGTTAGAAACAAACCTCTCTGTATTACAGCAGAAAAGTAGTGATAACCAGTAAAGATTCTTACTTTGCTTGACTTGTCACAACCCTACAGTGTAAATATGGTGTCAAATTGTATCAACCAACGACAATTTCTTAACAAATTTACATAAATTAGATTTAATAAGTTTCAATGAGTATCATTACTAACAAAGTCACTCAATTTCATCATGAGCTGACATCTGTTAGAGAGAACCATTGGGCACCACCAGAAAGGGGTACTAGAAAGCTGTTTCGACAGCCTAGTTTGGGGTTCTAACCTAGGACTTTCTGGTTACAAGGCGATTTCGCAGACAATTAAGCCACTAGGATCTGCGATCCAATGGCTATATCGTGAATTGGCAGAAGATGGAATTTACGACCTGGCCATTGGATCAGGTCCAAGTGGCTTGATAGTCTACGAGCTCACCTTGTAACCGATAGGTGCTGGGTTCGAACCTCGGCGGGCGCGTACTGATGAAGAGTCCCAAACTGGACTGACGAAACAGATGTCCACTAGTCCCATGCTTTCCAATGGTTCTCCAACCGATGTCAGCTCATGCTCAAATCCTGTAAACCAACACGCACAAATGGTTATCATTGTCTCAGTTCACGGAAGAGGTCTTTCATGTTCCAGATTATAAGCCACACTTTTGCATGATATTACAAGTTGTCCAGTGTGAAGTTAGCGGAATGAGATTTCAACCCGTAACTCACCAGCCAAACGTCAAGAGCTTAAAGCACTGAATCAGGCCTTCACGACAAATCCCAACATCTTAGGTTTTGTGTTAAGAGAGGTAAATTTCAAAAGAGAAAGAGAGAGAGAGAAAGACAAATGGCACTGGCTTTTAGCTGACAGATAGCAAACTTTAAACAACATCTGTGAAGGGAAAGAAAACAACTTACCAACTCGGATCTTCCAACAGGACGATTTTGTGCAGCTTCCATGATAGCATTCTGATGACGTTTTCCGTGTAAATGACTTTTCAACGATACTTCAGAAACAATCTAAATGACAAAATGAAAATAAGAAATCATAAGACTGTTTCTTCTCCCCCTCCCCCCCATTGCCTACGTTGACAATCTTTAACAATAAGAACCTATAAATTATCATAATTTCATTTAGCGCACCAAGTAGAGATAGTATGGTGACAGCTCCAAAAAACATTCTTCATAAAACTGCAGTCCCTCGGTGAAAACATCAGCGAAATAGTAACACAGCACCTGAAGAATGCAACCAGAAGACCTTTCAGTACAGCAGAGGCACGTTGTCTCTTCACTACCACTCCTATTTTACGTTCAAGAAATAAGGACAAATTTGCCTCTTCTATGTGCTTCTGTGGTGAGAGCTGTCTACTAGCCAAATTGTTAGACAGTAATTTACGTCAATGTTTACGTTCCCAAGATTTGTCGTGAGAAAATGTGAACAAAGATTGATTCAAAACCGACCACAGCAGACTTTGCGTAGGCGGATGCAGTTAACATATAGATGATTTGACATTCAAGAAACAGTCACAAAGAGATGAAAGATTAATTTTAAGTGAGAAACAACCAATCGGAAGACTGTGTTTGTTCGCTTAACTATCCATAATAGTGTACATGAAAATATATAAATATGCGTTGATTTCCTTAATAAATGATCTGTTGCCTGACTCTTGCCTTCTGTCGTTACAATTGGTGTCGCTGCCTCCGAACAATGAAGATCTCATGGCCAACTGCTTTTGAAGAAGGAGACATACGGAGCTTCTTACGTGACTTCGAGGCCGTCGCGGAGTTGGTGGTTGCTAAAGAGCAGGCGGCGAAGGCGGTTGTACTGGGGACGCTGTTGAGAGGCCGAGCGAAGGCGGCATATGACAGCGTAGAGAGGTCAGATGGCACAGCGTCTTGGAAGACATTGGTTGAACGATTGGTGTCGGAGTTCGACAGTTCAACAGACAGACAGCTGGCAATGCAGCAGTTCCGTTCAACGAAGCTCGGACCTGATGGAGATCCGTTAGTGTTGGCGGTGAAATTGACCAATCTACTTCGACGTGCGCTTCCCACTTTGGATGAAGATTCAGAGGCGCAGTTGCTTAGTTCCCAGTTCATCGAGAGTGTCCCAGACCACATTTCTCAGCAATTACAACTGGTTAACGCTACGCAGCCGACGGATATTAATGAGCTGGCGAAGGTGACCAGATAGCTGCTGAGCACAACTGTAGCTGCCATAGAGCAACCAAAACCAAACGAATTGGAGCAGAAAATTGAGGCGTTGCAGCGGGAAGTGGCGGCGTTAAAGTTGGGTGACAGGAAAGACCGGTGTTTTGAATGCGGTAAGCCGGGACACTGGAGGAAATACTGTCCAGAAAGGCGAAAAAGAAAAAGTTTCAGACGGTATAATACGTGTTCTTTCTCTCGTAAAAAACTAGATGTAGTGGCGGCTATCGAGAAAGGGGCTGTGTATTCGAAGTTGCGAGTGAATGATCAAGAAGTAATATGTTTAGTAGATACGGGGCGGCTGTCTCTCTAATAGATAAGAACTTATGTGCGAGTGTTAGTCCATGCTCATTGACAGTACAAACGGTAGGTAGCACGTATTACGTATCACGGATAGATCGAATTGCACGGTCGTGGTTGGCAGCTGCGAGGTGACATTCCCCTTCATTGTTGTGCCCGAATTACGACGGACGATACTTGGCGCGGATTTTCTGCGGGAGATTGGTGCGATAATCGACACGCAAGCGAAGGTTGTGATCACGAAATACGGACGTATCAGCATGTATGAGACCAGTGAGATAGCAGCAGTTAACCTGTCGAAGGTACACAATATGACAGAGTTAATTAATAAATACGATCATCTGTTTACTGGAGATGGGGACCCATACGGTTATTGCGATAAGGTGAATCATGAAATTCCGTTAAGTGGCCCGGAAGTAACGTCATTTACCACGCGAAGAGTCCCATGTTATTTAGAAGGCGAAGTTGAGCGACAGGTGCGAGAGATGTTAAAAGATGATATTACTGAAGAAGCTGATAACCCGTACAACTCTCCAGTGCTGTTAGTAAAAAAGGCGAATGGGAAGTATAGATTCTGCGTTGATTTTCGATAGTTAAACAGTATGACAGAATTAAGACCGTGTGCCATGTCAACAGTAGTAGAAACTTTAGATCGCCTACAAGGCGCAAATTTGTTTTCAGTACTCGATCTTCGCTCAGGATACTGGCAGATACCGATAAAGCCAGGGGATAGAGATAAGACGGCATTCATCGTGGGTCAGACACAATATCGATTTAAACGCATGCCGTTTGGACTAGCAGGTGCACCGTTCACGTTCAGACGACTGATGACGCTATTACTTAAGAATTTGAAAAACGTTGAGGTGTACGGTGATGATCTCGTCATATATAGTCAAAACGAAAACGATCATGTGAACCATGTGGAAGCCGTGCTGCGAGGCATCGAAGAGTTTGGACTGCCCGTCAACAAAACCAAGTCTCAGATAGCCAAAAAGAATGTAACTCTTTTGGGACATAAAGTGGGAAATGGTGAGATTAAACCACTACCGGAGAAAATCTTGACGATAAAGACGATCCCGGCCACGAATTCAAAGAGAAAATTAACACAATTCTTAGGTAGAGCAGCTTTTTATAGTCGCTTCGTGAAGAACTTCAATGAGATAGCAGCCCCTCTGTACAGGCTACTAGGTGAACCGAAATTTGTTTGGTCGGAGGAATCGCAGAAGACATTCAACAGGATTAAACAGCAGCTAGACCACCAAAAAATGACACTAAAGCTACCTGTACCTGGAAGACAGTTCACAGTGTGCACAGATGCCAGTGACTACGCCATAGGTGCGGTCCTAAGACAGGGTGAGGGAATCGTTGAGTATGCCAGTCGGGATTTGACACACACAGAGCGAAAGTATTCAACGATAGAGAAAGAATGTTTAGCGATGGTATGGGCAATCGACAAATGGAGACCTTATTTACTCGGCCGATGGTTCCACATCGAAACGGATCATAAGCCGCTACAGTTTCTGAAGACAGCGAGAGACCCACGAGGGAAATTGTCACGGTGGATGTTGCGTCTTCAGGAGTACGATTTTACCATCTCCCACTTTCCTGGAAATGAAAATGTCTTGGCAGATTTGTTATCGAGACCAGAAGACGAGTCTGAGTTGCCCGAGGTCGCTTACGGAGTGCATGCAGTAGAACAAGACCCACTAAGAATGGCACGCAGACAAAGGTTGGACGATACGCTGAATACAGTAATACAGGTGATCACTAACGGAATAGAAGTGGATCCAGCTACAGCGAGTAAGGAGCTAACCACACTACTCAGACAGAGAGATCGACTAAGAGTGAATGTCTACGGGACTCTGACCTGGCGAGAGAACGACGGAAGCTGGCTAGCTGTCATACCTCAATCGTCGCGCCACGACATGATAGAAGAATGCCACCAGCTAGCACATACCGGAGTGGCCAGAACCACCGACCTCTTGAAACAAAGTATGTACTGGCCAGGTATGAGAGAGGACGTAGCAAGATATGTACTTGGATGTCCACGGTGCCAGCTAATGAAAGGCGACCGGTGCATACGACCACCACTTCAGTCGATTCCAGTTACGGCGATAGGCGACTTGTGGTCCGTAGATGTTATGGGTCCATTTCCTCAGACATCCAGTAATCAGTAATCAGTACCTCTTGGTGATGACGGAACACGCGAAACGATGGGTAGACGCCGTAGCAATCCCAGACCAACGCGCAAGGACCGTGACAGATGCAGTAGTTAGACACATCGTTGCAGACCATGGCGTACCAAAGACAATACTGACAGGCCAAGGTCCGTGTTTCGAAAGTGAAGAATTTACTTCCCGTTTGCAACAGCTTGGCATCAAGAGGATCCGAACGACCCCATACCATCCACAAACGAATGGCCTGACGGAGAGAAACAACCGTACGGTGAAGGAGTGGCTGGCCTCGAAGGGCGGGAACTGGGAAATGGAGCTGCCACTGATTCTACTAACACATCGTGCCACCACTCAGGAAACAATGAAAAAGTCACCCTTTCAACTGATGTATGGTAGAAAACCACGATTACCGATACACAACGAAACCTGGCCCCTTCACCAAAAGTGGAGTACGACGAAATTAAAAGCAGAACGGAAAGAAGCCGTCCAGAATGTAATGCAGAAGCAGCGGAGGGATGTCGCAAAGTCTTAGCTGACAAAAAAGACTCAGGGCATTACCTTCTCAGTCGGGGACCAAGTGAAGTGTAGAGACAGAAGATATGCTGTCGGAAGCGGGCCAGGTTCACGCAAACTCCTTCCAAAGTGGGAAGGACCATACACAGTCACAAAAAGACGGGGTCAAGTATATACCATCAGAAGAGGTGACAAACAAAAACGATGGGTGCATTGGGACAAGCCGGTCTGTAACAATCATCAACGAGAGGATGCATCACCCAGAAGGTCGGAACGCCTGCGCGCGAAGCCATTTGACGGGGGGACGAGTGTGGTGAGAGCTGTCTACTAGCCAAATTGTTAGACAGTAATTTACGTCAATGTTTACGTTCCCAAGATTTGTCGTGAGAAAATGTGAACAAAGATTGATTCAAAACCGACCACAGCAGACTTTGCGTAGGCGGATGCAGTTAACATATAGATGATTTGACATTCAAGAAACAGTCACAAAGAGATGAAAGATTAATTTTAAGTGAGAAACAACCAATCGGAAGACTGTGTTTGTTCGCTTAACTATCCATAATAGTGTACATGAAAATATATAAATATGCGTTGATTTCCTTAATAAATGATCTGTTGCCTGACTCTTGCCTTCTGTCGTTACATTTCTACCAGATTGACTGCAGCTGCAGAGCCAGCTACATTGGGCGTACAATGAAGTAGGTCCATCATCGTATTTCCGAACATCATCCAACATGGTTAAGCAAGGGACAAACAAGATCTATTCGTAGCACACCTTGTAGACAGTGAGCATAAAGTTGATGTTAATACAGCATTTAAAATTATTTATCACATTCCTACTACTCTTAATTTTGTTTCACGAGTTCGTCTTCTACATACAACAGCTGAAGCCATAACAAACCACCTGAAGAAGCGAAATCTGTGTGTTCAGAAGGACTTTGTACAGCCATTTTCCTTACCTTGACCATCGTTACATGAATGTGTATAAACCGGACTACTTCACCCCCTCTCCCCCTAAACCTTTAAAAATTATAATTTTCCAAATTATTTTATTATTTTTCTGACTACTTTATCTTAAGTTATAAGTTATCATTGTCTAACCTGTTACGTAATCAACTTGAGCACACGCTTATTCCCTAATTACTCTTGATTTTCAAAAAGTATGCATGCGTATGTGTGCGTCGGTAGCACAGTAGTTAGGACTCTCGCCGACCATGCACATGGTCCGAGGTTCGATCCCACTCCGACGCACACCTGATATCTATGGTCGGCCTGCTAAATTTGAGCTACCGATATCACATGCTGAAAATTTCATACTTGCACAAAAAATACGCTGTGGAATCAAGCTATAATAAAATACTTTAAAAAAATCTATAAGCAATCCACGTGTTGTAATTAAGGAATGTTCCTTATTTCTAACCAACATGCTTGTTTATAAGCGACTTAAATTCGAAAGTGACGTACCAAGTGAAGTAATACAACTAATTAGTTAAGAAAATCAACTCAAAGAACTTCTACATGCTAATTCATATTTCCCATACACTTGGTTGTAATTCTCCAACTGAAAGACCAAGTACCTAGGTTAACCACCTCTCCCTATATTCATCAGTTCAACTCATTCTTTGAAAGCAGGTATACACTAGACGTTTTCGTCGGTAACATTTATCCAAATGGCTAAACAAAAGCGTAATAAAAAGCATTAACAATTGCGCATTAGGATTTCGTCATGAACTGACATCGGTTAGAAAACCTGATAATACTGGACATCTGTTTCGCCCTATTTTTGGACTCTTCATCAGTGCACACCCACTAAGGTTCGATCCCAGGACCTTTGGGTTACAAGGAGAGCTCGTAGACTGTTAGGCGTACTGATGAAGAGTCCCAAACTAGGACGAAACGGCTGGTTGCCCGGCACTCCTAACTGGTTTTCCAATGGACCTCTAACTAATGTCAATTCATGATAAAATCCCTGCAAACCAATAGTTAAATTGCATATTAGACCGCTTAGTTCAAACAGTCCACAAAACCAGAACGAAAGAAAAACCTTCTTCTATCATCTACCGTGTAGCGAAAGTTTGTGTACACAAGAAACAAGTTCAGCCTCTATGTGCCCCACTCTGGCCTGTTGTGGAACCCATAAATTCATAAATTCAGCGATAAGTGTTAAATCCAAGTCTTAGTGACAGCGTTTTCATCCACCAGGATACTCGAACATACCAATCTGACGAGTTCTGAACAAGATGAAACACTCACCTTGTAGTGTATGTATTGCAGAAGACAAGAGTATTTGGCAACTGGATATACAGATATAGTGGATACAATACGTCTACCATATATATCGGTATCATAGTTTACACATTTCTTCGGCATTGTGCTACTTTTTTCTTTCTTGAATATTTCCCACGTTGTTTCACAAGCATCGTTCATTAAATCCATCTCTCCGTCATTCGATACTCTTGACGCTGATACACATATTTATATTTGCACTTATATACTACTTATAAATCTTGTCAGTAGCACACTATTACCAACCAAAGAAATTAATCAATAAAATATGCCCACTTACCATAACTTGACATGCTTTACACCACTTTTGTATTGGATATGGTTCAATTCCTGGGACAGTAAGTGAATCATCACCAGTATGCGTAAGAACTGACATTTCAAAAGCTTTACGACTGATTTCTCGTAGGGATTCTTGATGACGTCGTTCAGATTCTGCTTGCTATGTACACAGCGATAGATTTTTTTGGAAAATACAAAGTAGAGAAAATAATGGATATAAATTGAATATATGTATATTATGTGAATCAAAAATAATATCACAAGGATGAGACAAAATGAGTGAAACAACATCAGTTAAAGAGATGACTGAAAGCCAGAAATCTCTGGACATCTGTTTCGTCCCATTCCGGGACTCTTCAACGGCACACACCTACGGCCCCACCAAGGATCGAACCCAGGACATTCAAGTACCAAGACTAGGTTTGTTAACCATACAACTGCTTGTCCTGGAGTTTATTGACCCATGAGTTTTAACTTCATCAATTCGTGACATAGGGCTATCCTCACGAATACCGCGCATGATGTCACTTGATGGTTTGGTTTCTCAGAGCACGGCCACAAATTCACCTCCATTTCTTCCTGCATATTCGTTGCACAATTGGTTCCTGTTGGGTTGGTTCGCTCATTGCCAGAGATCCCTGTGGCTGATCTTTTCTGCCCGACCATCTGATCTTGAGTAGTATTAAGCAAAGATAGCTGTTGATGAAAGTTTGTAGTTTGTTCGAAGTGCCTTTCGTGACGCGGCGCCAAGTCTCTGATCCTTAAAGTATTACTGACTACATAGGAGTTGAAAATCCGGATGTTATTTTCCATACTGTGTAGTGCTGTTGATCTCCACACAGACTTGAGAGTAGTGAAAGCTTGTCTTGCTTCCCCTCTTCTTGCTTTTATATTCTCATCAGTTCCCGTCTGCCTGTAGTTGAAATGATGCTTCCCAGGTAGCTATGTAGGTGGAGGAGGTTGCTTCTTTCAGATTTCTCTCATTTATGCTGATTGTTGTCTGTTGTTGTTGTTGCTGTTGTCCAGGAATCTTTATCACCTCTGTTTTCTGTGTTTACCTGAAGGCTTATCTTTGATGCTTCTTCTGCCAACTTGTTACTTTTCACTTGCATATCTTCCACTTTGTTGAAAATCAGACATATATCATCGGCGAAATCCAGATCCTCCCAAGTTTTTTGTGTGGGCCTATTTTATGCCTGTTTCCTCATTGCCCACTGTCTGTCGCACTATCCAGTCTACTGCAATCAGGAAAATCATTGGAGATAGTAGGCAGTCAGCCGGCCTTGTCTTACTCCCATCTTCACTTCTTCGAAGGATTCCGTGAGTTTCCCCTTGTGGATTACTTGGCACGCGACATTGTCGTGCAACTGCTGGGTGAGATGTATAATAGTTGCTGGCAACCTATAGTAGCGACCCGAGGTTATAAATAAAATTAATAAAGTGAAAATAAAACATTGTGAATACTCACTGAACTCAACAACTCACTTTACGTTGAATTTTGGAACGCAATTGTTCAATATGCGCACGTTGTTGTTCTTCTAAGTTAGCCATTCTTATTTCACGATATTGTTCTTTAGCACGAGCAGCAGCTCTACGTGAATGTTCCATTAATTCAGCACGTGAGGCTAACTGTTGAGCTCGAGTTTTCCATCTAGCTTGCAGAGCATCCATTCTAGCTCGACGTGATGCTTCTAAAGCTCTTCGACGAATCTAGAAGATAGGATAGGATAGGACAGAATTGGTGAAAATTCAATATTAAAAAACCATAGGAAGGGCAATAACATGGATCATCTTGAAATCGCGCCACTTTAGTTGCCTCTTATTTTTCATTGAGCATACTAAGTTGTTGGGTACGCTTTGTGTGACGGTTTTGAGTACTTTAAAATCGACATATTTCAAAAGGGATTTCATCGTTGAGCAAATTAGTTGAGAGTCAGGTCAGGTCATGCCATGTCATGTCAGTTACCCACAAAAGTAAGTATTCAAGCATATCTCAAAGAAAATAAACCCAGCATTGAAAAATACTGTCGGTTCTTCTAAACGTTTCCTTGCTCTCCTGAGCGGAAATTATTTCATACACAGCTTACGATGCCAGTTCACTTTACAAGGAGTTGACGAGCACAGAGGATACCTAAACTTATGACAAATAGTCGCTGATGTTATCGAATGGCAGTCATTGCATTTTATTGCAAAATATAAAAAAAGATATTTGAAATGATGCATTATTGTATTCGGGTCCAGTAGTCGAATATAGTGATTTTGTTGCCACGAAGACTGGTTATCCTAAACTGAGTCTACGAGAGAACAAACTAATGAGGATTCCCAAAAGAAAAGAAAATACCTGTCCAGTGTTTCATGATTTTATCCATTATGGAGAAAATTTTATTTTGATAAAATCACACACAGTGTAGTGCTATACAGTAATATTTACTGATGACCACGTTTAGAGCACAATTTATTGCTACTGCTCATAATCATATCAAGGCATTTCTCACTCACACAACTTCCTTGCTTCATTTATACACATGAGTAAAAATTGATGATTAGACAGTTGAATAAAATCAATATAAGATGAGAAAGTACATGCGGCAATAATAATATTAGTGTTATCGATAAATTACAATCAGATGGGAAATAGGATGTTTTTATAGTCAAAATAAATAAATATCTTGTTAGAATGTTATAATGTGAATTGAATTGAATACATTTTAACATTATCCTCCTCTAATTTGACTGGTGGTAATAATATCTTCCATACATATCCCTGGTATTTGCGTTGAGTCACTTCTGTTGCATGTGTTGGGTATTATTCGATGAACCAGGATTCAATAGAATGGGACAGAGTCAAAATTGTAAAGAGTAATATAGGTAGGTAGACAGAGAGAGATTGATAACTGAATCGTGGTTCATCGAGTCTACACTCAACGCATGCGATAGAAGTGACTCAACGCAAATACCAGGGATATGTATGGAAGATATTATTACCACCAGTCAAATCAGAGGATGATAATAAATATTGTTAAAATGTATTCAATTCATTTCACATTATAACATTATAACAAGATATTTATTTATTTTACTATAAAAACATCTTATTTCCCATCTGATTGTATTTGATTGATAACACTAATATTATTTCCCAATGTACTTTATTGATTTTATTCAAATGTCTAGTTATCAATTTTTACTCATGTATCTAAATGAAGCAAGAAAGTTCTGTGAGTGAGTAATGCTTTGATATGAGATTATGAGCAGTGGTAATAAATTGTGCTCGAAATGTGGTCATCAGTAAAAATATTACTGTATAACACCACTGTGTGTCACTTTATCAAAATAAAATCTTATTCATAATAGAGTTGTACTCTACCATCACAGTAGTGCCCAAGTTTTATCCTTATTTCATGAATTTCAATAATTTTTTTAACCGATCTCAATTAGTGACTAAATAAACCCTGATATCAATTAAATACGCAAAACTTCTGTATCTAAAACGAAACACGAAGAGGAGATGAGAAAACATTGCAGAAATATGAAATCGCTGTTTAAAAGAAGAGAAAATATAAAATTTTGATAGCCAGACAGACAGATATATCTCCGGCTCTGAAAAGCAGTCTGTGATGAAGAAAGTAGGCACTTGCTCAAAAAATATATATTGTCAAACACTTTATGAATTATTGCTACAATGCATATTTTATCCCCCCCCCATAATACCATTAGTCAAAGAGTATGAGCCCCACAAATCGCAGTCACGTTAATCAATAGACAGAAATTCGACTATTCCTCGACTACTCTGATGAGTAGGACTTCAACATTCTTTACAGACTGATTCCACAATAACACATTACTGACACCACCTACCTACCTAACTACTCAAGAATAGAATGAGATAATGAAGGTATCTGAAGATCTTGAGAAATCTTCCGCCTGTATTGATGATATTACCCAACTGTATTACATACAAAGGGGAGGAGTAGATCTCTGTACTGCATATTTTTATGATTCTTACTAAGCATTCAGTTACGTAATTAATCAAAACTTATTCAATTAAATACTTAGAATTCTATTTCAAATTAGGCTTTAGAAGAAACGTAAAAATACGATTTATAAACTAAATCAAACGTGTAATAAGGAACAAAATAATTCATAGTAATGATAATAATAATAACAAATAATGCCTCTGACACAAGACATCACATGCAATAAGAATTTACAGGATGATTTAAAAAGAAAAGCCAAACCAAAATATACTATAACGTAAGCTATTTTCAGAAAGGGTTACTCATTGAAGCACGTCGGTGGCACACCGGTAGAGTGCTCGCCGACCACGCCGCACGTGGTCCGGGGTTTAGATCCCCGGCCACCGACGCACTCCTTTACCTCATTAAACCAGTAATAAGCCCGGTAAGGAGGGAGTAAGGTTGGACGGGCATGAGGCTGGCTGGCAACCCCATCTCGTGACAATACTCACCACTGGTACAGAAACTTCAAGCCTCTAACTTGAAGCCCTCCCTATGTCCCACTGGGAACGTAAAGGAATATAAAAAACACTCATTGAAATACTTTCTAATGCATATACTAATTGAATAAATACTCTCTTATGAGGATAAAGTCGATGCAGGGTTAACGGTGTTAAGAGCTGAAAAGAAATACACTTCACCATGACAATGAATCACTCCCTATTTTGTGAAGGCTAGTCATACTGTAACGGTGGAAGAGGGGAGTGACTTGGTAAAGGAATGTTTATTTGCAATTTGGTACCTCTATTATAGCCAAATTATGTTCACCTTATCTTCAATGCCACACCATTTGCACAGATCATCCATGTGTTGTGCGTGATACTTCTCGCCTTCCTTCATATTGTGTGTGTGTTTCTTTGTGTTCCTTTCACGTCGTCTCCCAAGTATCTCCACCACAACGCTGTATCATTTGCTTTCTCTGAAATCAGATCTATCTCTCTGTTATTTGATGTTTTTAATGCTGATGAACGTCTCTTTATATACTACTGAAAATTCTTATCAGTAGCACACGCCACAATGTTAATCATGGGGCTCGCCAAACCTCAGGTAAAAGAAACACGGTTTGAACCCATGACTCGACTTAGTCGTCGTAAGTCAAGCGTGTTATTCACCATTGAGCTAAAGCTCCACAATATTTACATATATCTTTCATTTCAGGTGTTTTGAGTGGAACATACTGCTACAAGTTCTGAATTTCTAGTAGCGTTGGTATTGTTTTAACAAGATGGGGGTTGCGAGCCTCACTTTGAGCCTCCGTTCCCCCCCCCACTCCTTTTTTGGGCTTACTACTGGCTGAATGAAAGCTTAGGCGTGAGTCGGCACTCATACTTACATTAACTACACATGAAAGAAGTTAGAATACAATGAAAAGAGAATACAAAAAAGGGGAATTTATTTTTCCCCTATTTGTTAAATTCACCTTAGCAGCTTCTTCTCTGCCTTGTTTTTCTTCAGTACGTTTTTGACGTTCAATTGCCAATTCATTTAAACGTGCACGACTTTCTTCATGTTTAGTTAAAATGCTATACTGCTTCTGTTCTGCTTCAAGAGTCTAAAATAGATAATATTATCAAGAGTTAGAGTATGTGTATATGTATATATATAATTAAATATTCCCATTACTGTGGCTGAAACCCTATTGTTTTCTTTCAATGAATATTTCGTCATGAACCGGCATTTAACTTGGACTCTTTAGTAGTGTACACCCACGGCAACACCAGAGATCGAACCCGGGACCTTCAGGATACGCAACCTAGCTAGCTCGATGAGCATCTAGCCATCCACTTAGGCTGAAACTAACTAATTAACTAATTCAGGAACACGTAATATTGTAATTAGTTGTGTTCTCTTACCTGGTTGGTTGGTTTAATTGTGGAGCTTTCGTCATCTCTTCACCCTGCTAGACAACATCTGATTTAAATTCTCTATGAATGATAGAATTACATCTCTTGGTAACCATCTTCGTGACTGGTAGTCGATTTACATCTCTGTTGATCATTTTTTATTGACTTGGAATTTGAACTTTCTCGTCACATGATTTACTTTTTATTAGTTGATAAATTTTGTCTATAATAATGTTTGTTAATCGCTAGCTGATTCACTTGAGTACCAACCAGGCTTCTAGGAATTCCCTAGCAGTATTTTCGGTGTTTCCTCTATTTAAAATTTCGACATTATCCCAATCATCAAATTGGTATCCACAATTATCGAGCATGCATTGATATGAAACAGGAATATATATATATATGATGTTTTTTTGCAGCTAATTTGTGTTCTTGGGTTCTAATTCCAGGGAGACGGTCACTTTGGCTGATGCAATGTTTATTGCAGTTCCTGCATGCAATTTATTTTGTAAATAGTATTAATTTTATCTTCTTTTTCTGTTGGATGGATCCTTCGGTTTGCACAATATCGAATGAAGTGATTGTGCTGGCTTGCTGGCTTGTGTGCTATATCTATTTCAAACGGTTTCAATATTCTAGCTGTTAGTTGTTTCAGAGATATTTTTATATATGTTAGAATTAATTTTCTTGTAGTCTTTGCTGATGGTTTCTTGCTGATGTTATGAAGCAATTTTGAACACTTTTTAATGAAATTGTGAGGACATCCATTCTTTTTTGAAGACGGCTGTTAGTAGGTATTTTTCTTTCATTCTCTTCAACAAACACTGGAGTGCTACTGCAATTAAACCAACCAGTCAGCTCAGAGAACACAACTAATTGCAAATCATCCACCTGAGCTACAAATCTTCCCTATTACGCAATATCCTGGTTTAGACTACTTCAATTTGACTAGAAAACACTATTGCTTTAAGTAATCGCTTCCCACCTACTCATAGTAATATCAGTAGTATATACTATACCACTTGACAAAACATACAGTAAAAATAAACACAATTATTACAACAATAAATAATAGTAGTATATAATAATAATAATAATAATAGATTTACTTGTATAAATGCAATCTCTTTCAATTTCGTCTGTTCATCATGCGCTTTAAGTACACGACGAGTTAATTCAGCTTGACGTTTACGCTCAGCAGCGTGTAAACGTCTTTCTAGGCAAAAACGACGTTGATGTAACAGGAGTCGTTTTTGTAGATGAACTTCATCCACCTAGCAGAGACAAAAGGAATAATGAAGCAAAAACAAATAGATTTTGTTTTCTCTTATGAAAAAGCCTTATTCTTACAACTTGAATTCCTCGGTGATGGTAACATCAGTGAGATATTTAGAACACAATGCCTAAGGGATGCGGTAAAATGAAGAGCATTCAGTGCCACTGAGGTATGCGCTGTCTCTTCAAAACCACTCCTATTTTACGATCCGGCGTTAAAAATAACTTGCCTAATTTCGCCATTTCTATGTGCATCTACCGAATTTGAGACTACTCCTGTGGAGCCAGTTACATAGGCTGTACAGTTAGGTGTGTTTAGCGCCGGATTTCTGAACACCATCCCGTAAAATGGTCAAGTAAGGGCAAAACAAAATCCATTCACAGCTCTATTTTCATCTCATCTCGTGGATACAGAACACAAGATTGATGTAAACAAGACAACTTTCAAAGTCATCCACTGCATACCAACTAATTTCAACTTCACCTTAAAAGTTCGTCTACTACATTACAGCTGACGCTGGCCGCTGGGATCTACATTAAGAAGCCCGACTTTTATATCCAAAAGAAGTTGGTTCAGACACTATCCCTACCCTGCTGGCCATCAGGGTTTTAAAGTTCCTCAATTTGCTGTGGAAATTTCCTTAATTTTATTTGACATTCTATTTGCCATTACATGTTTATATGCCTATTATAAATTAAGTGTCTTTCTTGAACTGTAATTCCGTTGTGATCTTACTTGACAAATCGATATTATTTAAAAAACACACCAATATTGTTAATGACGACTATTCTAGAATATTCTATACAATATAAACACAGTGTAAGATTGTAGAGCCAGAAGAGGAAATTATCGAAAAGAATATTATTTGTTCAGTTTTTTTCTTTTTCTTTTTTATGAAACAGTTTATTTATGAGGAAGTCCATGAAAAAACTCACAATAAAAAAGAGAAGAAATAGTATAGCAAAACTATTGATCATAACATAAATAAAAAGGAATCATATGAAAAAGAGAAGACGCTCAGTGAAGAGACTCTTTTCGGCGGCGAATTCATTCACATACCTGTACAATTGCATCTATATATCATTGTTTTGTGTGTGTGTACAAGAGGTTTGTCAAGTTTAGATAATTGATCAGGTAATACAAAAATGATCTAATATAGAAACAAGATTAATTAGACAGCAACTAAAGTAAGATTGAGTTAGTAAGTTAGATGACGCAATGTGACTGACTAAAATGTTTCAACTTATTTCAGGATAGCAACAGAGGTAATTACATGTAGAGACTAAGTAGAGGTGGCGTAGAGAATAATACCATTTAAATTAGAACTAAAATTGAGCAGATAACTTGGATGACGTAACATAAGCGACTAGAAATTGAACGTTGGTCAAGTCAGTAAAAGAGGTAAAGAGGTGTAGAAATTAAATCTGGTGGGTGTAGAGAACAGGAAAGTTGAAAATGCAAAATATTACAATTGGAAAGACAAAATAAAACGAATGAAGAGACAGAAAGAAAGAAATAGAATTTACCTTTCAGGTATTAAGACAGATTTCGTCCATTGCAAGTGTAGTGATTGTGAACTAACTTTTTTCTGTATGCAGAGTTCAGGACTTAACAAATGAATTGCCACAGCTATGTGAACGAATTCGCCGAAAAGAGTCAATTCGTTGAACATCTCTTTTTCATATGACTCAATGGGGATTTATAAGGTACTTAAAAAGGAATTCACAGTGTTACCGTAATAACGAAGGAACATCCATAAACCCGACATAGAACTCTTAATTAAAACAAACAGAAATTACAGTGGTGGCATTCAGACACCTACAAAACTTAGGGAGAAACTCTGTACAACCAATCCAATTTGAGAGAATAATCTAATGTACAAATACCTTACAATGATTATGAAGTCAATCAGAAAAGTCGCATACATTAGTAGATCTGGGTTGGTGATCATGTCAGAACATAGAAATTTAAGTGAGTGTATTGATCAGATCGCCACATTACGGATCATCATTGAACAGAGCTTGGAATGGTAGTCAGCTCTCTACCTCGCTTAACTTCATTGACTTTGAAAAGGTCTTCGACAGACAGTGTCGATCGAGAGGTGATTTGGCAACTACTTCGCTACTACCAAGGGGTGCCGCCAAATATTATACATCTCATCCAACAGTTGTACGACAATGCTGCATGCCAAGTAATCCATAACGGGAAACTTACGGAACCCTTCGAAGTGAGGACAGGAGTAAGACAGGGTTGCCTACTATCGCTAATGATTTTCCTGATTGCAGTAGATTGGATAATGCGACAAACAGTGGGCAATGAGAAAACAGGCATAAAATGGAACCACACAAAAAACTTGGAGGATCTGGATTTCGCCGATGATATATGTCTGATTTCCCACAAACTGGAAGATATGCAAGTGAAAAGCAACAAGTTGGCAGAAGTAGCATCAAAGATAGGACTTCAGGTGAACATAGAGAAAACAGAGTTAGGTGATGAAGATTCCTGGCCAACAACACCAGACAACAATCAGGAAGGGACCTGTAAGAAACAACCTCCTTCACCTACCTAACTACCTGAGAAGCATCGTTTCAACTACACGCGGAAATGACGAGGATATCAAAGCAAGGATCGGAAAAGCAAGACAAGCTTTCACTACTCTCAAGTCTGTGTGGAGGTCAACAGCACTCAGCATCAAAAATAAGATCCGGAATTTCAACTCCAATGTGAAGTCAGTCAGTGCTACTATACGGATCAGAGACTTGGCCAGCGCTTCATAAAGAGCATCTCAAACAAACTACAGACCTTCATAACCAGTTGTCTTCGCTCAATACTCAAGACCAGATGGCCAGAAAAGATCAGCAACAGAGATCTCTGGGAGCGGACCAACCAGGAACCAATTGTGAAACAAATAGGCAGGAAGAAATGAAGATAGGTGGATTGACCATACTCTGAGGAAACCATCAGGTGACATCACCAGACAAGCCATCGCTCGAGTGGAACCCGAAAGGGAAGCGGCGATTTTGTCGTCAGTGCAAGGGTGACTTGGAGGAGGTCATGTGAAGAGGAGATGAAAACCTGTGGGCAGACTTAGAACAAGGTGAAAACTCTAGCAGAGAACCGAACGCAATGGAGACGCACGGCTGAAGCCCTATGTTCCTCTAGGAATTAACGGAAACAATAATAATAATAATATGATTAATTCCAAATAAATGGCTGACGGAAAAAAGTCTCAGCAATTGTGCAATACACTCATATTGCTAAAGATAGCAAAGCTTGTCATTAGACCAAGTAGTGTGCCTCCAAATCAGCTTGTTACTAATTTAGTCGACAGACATCCGAATTGATGCATATGAGAAATGGGCTAAATGGGCCATATTGTCTGACTCTCAGCACTCTCTTTATTCACAACCCTCTCCACACCTTGCATCTCATCAGATAGGACTAGAAGTTATTATGAAAGATTAAGTGCTCGAACAACCAAGTACAAAAACTCAACGATACTCTATTTGTTTCGCGTTCTATGCGGTAGAGACAATGTTTGTGGTGAGAGCTGTCTGCAAGCCAAAATTGCAGACAACAATATACATCTATGTATACGTCCCAAATCCGGGGGGTCATGAGAGAAAACAAGAACAAAGCCTAACCTTGAGGAACTCAACAACCAATCACAGCAGACTTAACGTGTGCAAATACGATTCGCAGATATATAGTCTGACCCTCAAAGAAACTACCACAAAGAGATGATAGAATAACCTTCAGCGGGGAAACAACAAATCAGAAGACGTTGCTTCTCTGCTAACAATAACGCTAATAATAATATATGTATATATGCCGTGTTATGGATTCAACGCAAGTGTTCACAAAGTCATGAACCACAAAAATATTTTGTACACACATACCTTTTTGCTTAGTTCGTGTACACGTTCTGTTCTTTCAAGAAGATGTTGCTGACGTAATACTCTAGCACGATCTTGTTTTTCTTCAATCTCTTCTATAGAATTTGCAGTCCTATAATGAATACAAACAAAAAAGAGGGGTAAGACATTTTTAAAAGATATATATATATATATATATATAGAACTATTACCGGAGAATTGTATAAACAAGAATGTGAGATGTGAGGAAGTAGCGAACAATTCGATATGGCGATCGATATCTAGTCTGTCTATTTTTACATTATTATTTCCTTTACGTTCCCAGTGGAACATAAGGGCTTCAAGCTAGAGGCATGAAGTTTCGGTAGCAGTGGTGTTTATTTTACGGGATGGAGTTGCTAGCCAGCCTCATACCCAACCTTACTCCCTCTTTACCGAGCTTATTACTAGCTTAGCGAGGTAAAGGAGTGCGTCGGTGGCCGGGGATCGAACCCTGAACCACCTGCGTGGTTGGTTGGCGAGCATTCTACACCTCTGTGCCACCAACGCACACTCTATTTTCACTTAATACCTACTAATTGTGACTATCGCTACCTGTTATTATTAATTCAAGACTGATCACGAATCAAGTTAAGTGAGAGAACCAATGAAAACCAGCTTGGAGTACAGGACAGCTGTTTCGTCATAGTGTTTGAAACTCTTCACAGTAGTACGCACCCATGACCCACCACCCTACAAAGGGTCGAACCCAGGACCCTTAGGTTACAAAACAAGCTCGAATACCACTAAGCCACTGGGACAGAGTGCAATGGTACATGAATAATTCTACCTTCTGTCAATTTTACGATTTTATTTGGCGCCACTGCAAGGCGATGTATCATCGACGAGTATTTCTCTTTACACCCAACTCTTTTGGTGGTGGACCCCACACGCTGGTCACAACTTCCAATTAGAACTTTAAGCAACTTCATCTTGTAGTTAGTCACTATTGAGCACTATTGAGTATATATCTTCCTCTCTCTGTTGTGTGAATTCAACTTTTCTATCCGTATTTTCTTCGATCGATACCGAAGATCAGATGGCCAGTAAGAAAGAATAAGCAACAAGAAATTCTGCCAAGTAGAGAGAACCAGCCAACAACCTATCACCTAATAAATATGCAGAAGAGGAAATGGGGAGACGGATTCAAGATAACGCTGGGAAGTCCGATGAGTGACATGACGTATCAAACCGTCGAGTGAAATTTGTCCGAAAGTGATACAGAGAAGATCATATGAAATGGGGAAATGGAAGTGCACCAGTGTAAGTTGGGAGTGACGGAAAAGAACCGGATGCAGTTAAGATGTACCACTGAAGTCTTATGTTCCACTCAGAACGCAACGCAGTTCTCAGTCAAGCGACAACTAGGAATACCATCATCAAGGGGTGTGTCTATGACAAATTAGTGGCGGACAGACGATACACGTGATTTCTTATCAACACAGTCATGATGGAACAACAGTTCTCAAGTATCAAGGAAGAATTACAGCGTCACTGTGCATCAACTCCACGATCGATTGGCAGTAAAGTAAAAATCGGACACATTGTAAGAGTCTGTCTGTCTGTCTGTTTTCAACATAGAACTTTGCACAAATGTGCACCAGTTCAAGTCACCACACTCCCTTCTTGTAGCACACAAAGCAACAGAAGAAATGCATAATAGAGACAGTAAACAGAGATATAAGACGAAAGGAATAGTAATATCGAAGAACAATACAGTTTCATTGGAAATCATAAATCACAAGGAGTGGATGCACCTGCACCAGCCATCAATGAGAACGATTTCGAGCCATATCACCGATTGTTTCCAACCATTGGTTTTTACCATCCCTGGGACCCCAACCAGGAAGTCTACACCTTCCTACGTGACTGGCTTAAACTAACTGTTGTGGATTTCATTGACTGATGATGAAGCCATGTTTTGGTTTGACCGCGGCTAGCTCCTCTTTTCCAGCCTAACCCTATGTCAGCTAAAACTGGTGTCAGTGTTCCTGACGAAATTGACATTGAAATTTCTGGAGAAATTACATGAAATATCTTATCTTATAACTGCTATTTAACAATTAGTCTTCAGAATCAAGTATTAATATATATATATATATATATATATATATATATATATAACATATGTAACACCATGCTGAATGTTAGAAATCATGATATCTTTCGCGTAAAAATCCTAACACAATGTAACACAAATGAAAATATTACCGCTTTTTTGAACGAGCAGAAAGTTTCTCGTGCATATGAACGCCATGACCAGGTGTACGTGATTTCACCTCCGTCTTTGGAATCAGCAGTACACCTTGTTGACAAATACTACCATCCGAGGCAACAGTTGGCAATGAATAATGAGCTGATGCTGACACAGAAACGGATTCATCATTTGAAGCACGAATATGTGGAGATCTACGGTCGTCAAGCTTCACTGGATTTGTTAACTCCAGCAGGCATTTTATAAAGGGATCATTTTCTCGTTGTATATTGGTTGTTGCATCACAGGGGTCTTGTTGACATTTCATTTCTGGTAGTGAATCAACGAAATTTGATTGTTCTATAAAAAAAGGACAATAGAACATCAAAAAAATGGGAGACACAATGCATGAGTGATTCAAAAAGTAGCTCTATATTAGACTGTTGGAGGCGATCGGCAGAAAGCCATGGACCTAGGTTTCGCACTTGTTGACATTCATCACAGCACGGCGTACTGGGTGTAGCTCCTAGTCTAACATCTAAACTTCCTTATTTTAGACGTTGACTACTTTGTTGTGTCCACATGTCTCTAGGCTCTATGACCAAACCTCTCACAATAAGGACACCTTTCCCCGGGGAAGACATGGTCTGAAGAATGTTTGGAACGATGGTATCATCTGCTAGGGTGCTGTAGCGTCGTCACTGTGTTGCCGACTGACTAGCGTTAACAAGTGATCCATGGATTTGTAGATTCCAACGAGAAGCGCGTTTGAATTAGTACATTGAGAAAGAATATGATCCGTACCTTTAAATCTTTCGACTTTCGCTAGCGACTTGGATACAGACTGCACTGATGTACGTAAAACAGAGTAAGATTTCAAATCCAGCTCTTGAAGACCCTGTGAGAAACTGGGGCAGTGAAGTTTGTCCCTTGTCGCAGCAGGTAACTACTACTACCACCCAACGGGCCCAGTGGCTGAAATTCGAGTGCTACCCCCAAACGAGCCAAATCTCCGAACTGATAGAAACTAAGAGACAGTGCAAAAGCACTTAACCTTCGCTTATCATTATGTTGTATTCTATCTTGTTATGGTAATGTACGCTTTTCCTTTATCTTTTTTTCAGTATTACGTTCCATTTTTCCCAAATATTTCTGTTCTTTTGACAGTCCACTGTAAAGTTTTCCCTCTTAGGTGTGAGTCAACATGATCCTTTCAACTCTACATGACTTCATATCATACCTAACAAGAATAAAGTAAAAAAAAGTACTATGTAGACTCAATGGTACACCAAAAACCCAAACATCAGACAGACTGATAGGGAGACCTCACATAGAGGGTGGGCTAACCAAGAGTTTTCGTAGGGATTACAAACAATAACAGGTGACAAAATCGAAGTAAATAAAACAGGCGCTCATCAATTATTCAGGGTACCAAAAAAACCATGATACATAAAATGACCACCGAAGAGGATGGAACTCTTCAGACGAAGTGACCAGAAAATTGGGTCGAGCATTTGAAGGAGCAGTTAAATTGGCTTACAAATCCACCCAGAGTAGACCATCATCCAACCTTAGACTGAATAGGACGTAACCGAGGTAGAAAAAGGCCTCTCTAATCGAAAACATGGCAAGCGAACAAGACCACATGATTTGACTTTCATAATTATTCAGAGAGGATGGTAATGAATTACTGGTTAAATACAACAGACATCGAAAAAAAAAGCTTTGAACGCTAACATGAATATATATATATATATATATATATATATATATCAAAAGGTTATGTATACAACAGAACTATCATCGTATTCTGAACTATTATTCAAAGACAATAACAGCAAATGTTCCTCTGGTACACCGATCAAAACAGCTCTGATAAGTACTTGACAAATAAGAACTTAAGTGTATTCGAAAGGGCAAGATAAATACGTCAATATGAAAAGTCGAAATCTGAAGTCAATGCAGACGGATGAATATGGAGAAACAAAATTAACAGGACTCAATTCAAACTCCAGCCTAAAAGGGTGAAGTTAGACCTTTAAACATCCAACAGATGTGAACGCACCAAGGCTCTTGGAACCCAGGGTTAGATCAAGACAATCAAAGCAGGCAAATAACACAGTACTGAGTGAAGCGTATTAATACGCAACAGGATATTCAGTTAATTTTAGGTTAAATTATAAGAAGATTAAGAATGGAGGTAGATGAGGGGGTTAGGTTAGACGTGGATTTGTTTTTATATTTTATGGTAAAGCTTGAAAATTCTCAACTTAGTCAAACCATCGGACATTTTGACATTTATAAAAGATACGTGGACGACACTTTCGTTATCTGCGACAGTAGTGTAATTCTTGATGATGTCTTGTTTGCTTTCAACAACTGCCATCCTTCTCTACAATTCACCATAGAAAAGGAATCCGAACTAAGTATTCCCTTTCTTGATATGTGTGCCTTAGCAGACGTAATGACAGATCTCTCAAAAGATCTATCCACCGGAAACGTACATGGAACGGACAACTAACTAATTTTTATATTTGGGTCCCTATTTGCAGGAAAAGGAACCTAATTCATTCGCTCTGCTTTAGGATAAGGAAAATTTGTAGTTCTGCTTGCGTTGAATCAGAACTTGACTTTTTAAAAGCCACCCTCGCAGAAAACGGTTACCCTAACGGATTTATTGACAGCAACATGAGACATAAGCAGTCTAAACTTATCACCGACTCAGTTCCAAAGAAAGTCTTATTCATGAACTTGGGATTCAAAGGCGATCAAGCCTCAGATATGCTCAAAAGTCGTCTCTCTAAATCAGTCAGTAAGACGTTCTATGCAGCAAAATTACATATGATGTTCACTAGCCGCAAGTTGTTCTCTACCTCTGTAAAAGATAAGCTCCCCCGTCTGGCCGCCTCCATATGCATCTATCAGTTCACCCGCTCTTGTGATGCAAGGTACATTGGCCGTAGTCAGAGGACCACTTCCACACGGATACAAGAACATATTCCAGCATGGTTTTACAAGGGAGGAAAGAAGTGTGTACGAAGCTCTATTCTGGAACACCTGATCGACTTTTGTCACTCTGTCAACCCTGACCATGATTTCAAGATCATATATAGAATCCATGCTAACTTACCACGTTTTCTTCGTTACAGACTTCTAAAGACAGCGGAGGCCTTGGCAATTCATGACTTTAAGTCAGACTTTTGTGTACAAAAGAAGTATGTACAATCCCTACTTCTGCCTTGGCCGTAGAGGGATAGACATTTATTTATTTTGTTTACTTAGTTATTCTATGTACTCTTCCCTTATTACTACGATTATCATTATTATCTTTATTATTATTACTATTCGCACTCTGAATCTTTTCCACTTGACCCACTTGTCATTTTAAACCCAAAATTATTAATTTTTATACTTTTATTTTATTTTTACAATATTCAATTGTATCTTATCAAATTCCACACCATGTTATGTAACATTTTATATTCGCCTACTATTCCTATAATTATAAACCCCTTTCCAAAATCTATACACCTTATGTATTATTCTATATATGACATTGATTGTTTTGCCACTTGACATTAAACTATGATTATAATCACAAATATTTTAATTGCATTTCATACTCTTATTATTTCATTTATTCACACCTTTGGCTTAATTCCGTCACCAGCTATAATTTTAAAAAAGACAGTGGCATAGCGGTTAGGACGCTCGCCGACCATGCACATGGTCTGGGGTTCGATCCCCGGCCGACGCACTCCTTTACCTCGTTAAAGCAGAAATAATGGTGGTGAAGAGGAAAGGTTGGGCATGATGCTAGCAACCCCATCCTGTAAAAATAAACACTGCTACAGAAACTGCAAGCCACTGGCTTGAAGCCCTATGCTCCACTGAGGAACGTGAAGGTAAAAATATATATATACGATTGTACAGCTTGATAATAAATTCGTTGAAAAGAGTCTCTTCGCAGAATATTGTGCTCTTAATGCTACAATGGGAATTATTAAATTATTTTATATTTCTGTCATGCTTTGAAGTTTCTGTAGCCATTTGACTGATTTTCCGAGGTAGAGCCGCTAGCCTCGTGTCTGACCCCCACCCCTCACTTTTCCAGGCCTTAGGACACGCTAGAAAACTAGGGAACTAGCAAACCAATTAAACAACAACCAGCGGAAAGGATGAAGAGATCAAAACCAGGTTGGGGAAAAGTAAGACAGACTTTCAGCATTCTGAAATCAGTGTGGAGATCTCCTGAACTCAGCTAGCATAAAGAACAAGATTCGGATTTTCAACAATAATGTCAAACCAATTCTTCTATATGGATCAGAAACTTGGAACGATACGAAAAACATTTCCACCAGGCACCTCAGACTTTTATCAAAGGCTGCTTTCGATGGCTGCATACTGAAGATCTGATGACCAGCTCTAGCTCCAGTAAGAAATAACAATATGAAACTCTGGTAAAGAAAACCAATCACGAGCATATCGTTCAACATATATGTAGAAGAAAATCGGGATGGATTGGACATACACGCTGAGGAGACCATCGGCTGACACTATGGGACTAGGCCGTCGAATGCAAGCCGAATAAGAATCAACTAGTGGTGTGTCCGAGGGTGAGGTGGAGGAGATCATGTGGGGAATCATTGAGCCAGGTTAGAGAGGACTATAGAGAACAGGTTGAAATGGAGATGTGCTGCTGAAGCTCAATGTCCCACTTGGAACCCAAGGGAATAATTATAATATAATAAATGGGCGTAGATTAGGGTTCGGGTTGTGTTAGGCGATTGAATTTATCTTTCAGGGCTATAAATATTCCCAAAGTCACTGGTGCATTCGCACTTCTTAGCTGCCTCAGGTCTAAAGATAATAACCCGGTCGTCAGTGGTAAAAATCTCCGAACTGTAAAGTTAAGGGAAATAAATATAAGTAAAACTGAGCAGCGATCAGTCTGGATTTCCGTCAGAAAATAGATCAACCTATCCACAAAACTCTCCTGAAGAGAGAGTACTTACTTCACTTCTTTCGTAACGATACTACTGAAGACAACAACATTATACCAATCAATGTATACAAACCTCTACACATGAAAACTCAAACATAAAGAACACTATTTATTTATTTGATAGTTGGCACCTTCCACATCCGTTCCATCTGCTCTCGCAGATTCCCAACACTTCTACTATTCCATATCTTCTCATTTCTGCGGCTACCTGGGCAGCCTTTCCATCTTCGTACATTGTACGAATATTCCACGTCCCCATCCTTATTTTTGCTTTCATCGAAAGGAGGCACATCGACTGACTGGCTTCCCGAAGGCTTTCACCAGCCTGCATCATTTCACTTCCCCGATTCCATCGAAAAATAAGGTTATTGTTTATATTTTTAGTAATTTCAATATATTTATGCGTTGAAGTTTCTGTAGCAATTTGGTTAAGTTTTGGGAGTGGAGTTGCTAGCACCACGCCCCAACCCTCCCTCTTTATCCGGGCTTGGGACCTGCTAGTAATCTAGGCGAAGAAGCAGTAAAGACAGGACTCCAGGTGAACATAGACAAGACGGAGGTTATGAAAATAACCAACCAAACAACAACAGCAGGAACATCCAGCGCCAATCACGATCAACGGGAGGGATTTGAAAGAGGTTACTTCATTCACTTATCTAGGGAGCATTGTCTCAACTACAGGAGGAACGGACGAGGATGTCAAATCGAGAATCGGGAAGGCGAGAAACACATTCATCAACCTGAAAACAATCTGGAAATCTTCGTCACTCAGCCTGCATCAACAACAAAATGATTCGGATTTTCAATACAAACGTCAAGTCAGTTCTTCTATACGTGCGGATCAGAAACTTGGCGGGTCACCAAGAATATTTCCAACAGCCTGTTGCAGACCTTTATCAACAACTATCTTCTTCGCTCTATACTGAAGACCAGATGGCCGGAAAGAATCACCAACAAGAAACTATGGGAACAAACAAAACAAGAACCAATCGCCAACCAACAAATATGCAGGAGAAAGTGGAGATGGATTGGACACTCGCTGAGGAGGCCGTTGGGTGACATCGCACGTCAGGCCATAGCTCGAGTGGAACCCGAAAGGGAAGCGGTGAGTAGTGGGACGTCCAAGGGTGACATGGAGGAGATCGTGTGAAGAGGAGTTGAAACAGTATGGACTAACATGGATGCAGGTGAAAAGTGCAGCAGAAGACAGAAGCAAGTGCAGTTGAAGCCCTATGCTTCACTAGGAACCCAAAGGAACAATAATACGATAATTATTTATTTATTTATTCTCACCTGATTTTACTGAAGTAAAATACTGACCGTTGTATACTTCACTTTTCGCATAACTCTTTTGGTAGCCATACTCATCCGCATTGAATTCCGATTGATTTATCTGCATATCAGTTAGAGGAATATCTGATTTATGAGCAGTGGTTGTTGTAGTCTTGTTGTTCGTTAAATACTGAGATTGTGATGAATTAGGCTTAGAAAGGTAACAATTTTGAGAGGTGGATTTTTTTGGAACCTGTTCAACGGTAGTCTTATTTTCACTAGTCACATTATTACACTGACTGTTGGAGATATCGTTATTATTATTCTGGTTATGACAATGACAATTACAACAGGGCGGATGTTTCCTCTCAGAATCAGCATTGATAGTTGTTTTTTTAACTAGATCAATATTTGATCCAGGTTGAATAGTATCAGCAGCAGCAGTAGCAGCAGAATTCAAGGGTTGATGATTTGTAACACTTGTGTTAGTAGTAGTAGTAGTATTAACAATCAGTTTTTCTGACTCATCAACCTCGTCAACATCATCGTCATCCAGTGTAACACTGTCGATATCTACTACATCCGCGTCTGTATCAATGCCTAATTCATCGGTAGTATTACATGGACGATGAATATCCCCTGACTTGAGGTGATGACTTTGATTATGTGCAGGTTTGATGAAACTTTTATTACTACTACTATTATTGTTGTTATTATTATTATTAGTATTATTACTATTACCACCCCCATTTTTATGCCAATGTCTATGAAGATACCAAGACTGATTATAACCAGTGGATTGGACAAATGCCGCCTTCTCCTCTTCTTCTTCAATTAATCGTCTACGAAGAGCAGCCTCGGCTAACTGAGCTCTGTCTAACTGGTGTGACAGTACACGTTCAGCAGTAGTGACATGTTCAATAGCCTTTATAAAAAAATACAGAAGAGAATAATAGAGAGAATTAATGATTGATTGACAGGGATTTTTTTAAATGCATTTTGAGGAGCCCAGCAAGGCAGTTTACACGCCTCCTCCCCCTACAGAGTCGAAGACTTCAATGAATTGATACCACATTTTGGTCTGATCTGATCATCTTTCACCCTCTTTTCCAAAAAATAAAGTTTGTGAATCGTTTTTGTTGTATATCTGAACATTCGATTCCTAACCAGTGGATTGTGTATGTTTTAGAATCTTATTAGTATGCCGCCGGATAAGATCTTAGCAGCAAGTTTTGATGAAAGCTTGTAGACTAAGTGTAAATATCTATATGTCTGGTGAACACACTTGTTGAGGGTTGTTCAACCACGTACCTCCTAACTTCGAATTCACCTTCGGAAGGTCCTCGTTATCCTCTATGTAGTTATTCTCTCGCTAATCTCTGTCCGTAATAGTTTCATTTTAGCCCCACCACCGGCAACCGATAGCTGCTGCCTTGACGTGATGGTCAGACTACTTGTGGGTAACAATGACCTGGCGAGTTAAACTGCCTGGAAAGAATATTCTCGCAGATCCTACAATGCCAGAAAGATTGATTGGATAGCGGTTGGACTAAAAGAAATTACCATCATTGCGTAAGTCGTTTACACTGTGTTGTGCTGACGAATTGGGATGTAACACAACAGCGAGCAGACTAGGCTGCCTCTATGCTCTCAAGATGAGGGTTAGAAAAGCTCGACCAAGAGAATTGTACGTGCTGACTTACCTTGAGGCGGCTCATAGTTGGTGGTAAGATCTTACTATGGACGCAACTCCAAAAACACTTGTACGACAAGCCTTAAAAATTTGTCTACTGGACTATGTCGACACGCAGCACTAATATGCTCCTTCTGCTTCGAGTACTCTTCTAAGGAGAAATCGACTTCCATGATGTAATAACCGTCATCCCACACACACTTCCATAAGCACACAATGCATTCCTGACTATCACCCATCTTCACCTCCATTTCACCATCTGTTTCATAATATTACATCAAACAAGTCGACTTTTAACTGCATTAAAATCACTTTCAGTGAACTAAATCAGGGTACAATTAGTTCAACCATCGACGCACAGTGAGTCGACCGGGAAACCAACCCTGACCTCCAGTTTGGCTGGCAAGCATTTTACCGACCGACGTACACTCCTAAACCCTCGTCGCCTGGTTTACTAACCGGTAACAGGTCCAGAAAAAAGAGGGGAGGTTGGACGTGCAATTAGCAACCAGACCATGCATAGTCGTCTTATATAGAAACTGATGGTAATAATAATAAAAACAAAAATAGATATGAAATTAATTCACTGTTATCTTATTTGTTTCCATAATACTGAACATTTTTTTATCCAATTATATGGCTCTTTGAGCTTTAGCACTAAATTTTCAACTGATGGGCGCCGGGTTCGAATCCCACCCCTTCTACTTCAATTCAGTATAGACTGAAAATGCCTGAAATGATGAAAAGAGACTTTTTCAACTTAACATATATAAAAAGAAATTTGATTATTTTCTCATTTGATGGATGGTGACTACTAGCAAGTAGCGGAATCCAGGATGCGCATTTCGTCCTACTTGAGACTCATCATCCGGATGCATTTAGACTTCCAATATTAATGGTAGTGTGCCTGCTAAGACTCGAGTTAGGCACCAATGAATTCACACACACACACACCAGTGTTATTAGCCATTGGGCCACTTGGGTCATCAGAGAGAGCGCATAATATAACCGCCGGGGTTCGCACCCAGGACCTACCTGTTACTAGGCGAGCTCGTAGACCATTAAGTCACTGGGACCCGATCCGATGGCTCATGAATTCTAACTTCTGCCAATTCACGATATAGCGCAACCGCTAGCTAATGTCTTCGGTGAGTATTTGTCCTCACACCTGACCTGCTGCTGCACCCTACTGGTGACGACTTCTCACTAGAACCCCAGGTAACTAACTACCTACCTGAATAGGGCCAGTCGCTAGTGAGCATTTCATTTGGTTGCAGGATTTCATCATGAGCTGATATCAGTTAGAGGACCATTGGAAAATCTGGAAGGAGTACTGGACAACCAGCTGTTTCATCGGCCTAGCTCAGGACCCTTCAACAATACGCACCCACCCACCTCCAGGGGGTTCGAATCCAGGACCTTCTAGCTACAAGGCAAGCTTGCAGGTATCACTTAAAGCATAAAACAAGCTTGGAAACATATATATATATGTTCAGTTATATTGAATATGCTATTTTTTAAAATAAATTCTTACCTTGTCCAGCTTTTCTAAATCACGTGACAGTGTATTATCCTCTTGATCAGCGTATTCATCGTCAACATCATCATCAACTAAATATGTATATCTAGTCATATCCTCTCCCTGATGATCATGATGACGGTGATGATCATGTTCTATGTCGACAGTATCATTTTCATCAGTAGTTCTACACATAGATAAATCAGCAGTGTACGCGTCAACTTCCTCTTCATCACCATCGTTATCATGACACGCTTGATTGTCTAGACCTGTAGAACATAATTTGAATTTATCTCTGCCACCACTACTACTATTATTGTAAGTAGTAGTTTGCTGTAACTCTGAATTACAATGAATTCGTTTGGCGCCAACTCGTTTACATGATTCATAATCGTTTGGAAGAGAAGGTATCATAGAAGGCTGAGAAAGACTACTAGGTTCTTCTTCTTCATTATCTTCGTCTTCTTCTCCATTAGGATTATTATTATTATTACTATTACTATTACGATTATTACTACTGTTGTTCTTTTTTGCGTTAAGCAATTGACATCTCCTATCTGATATACAAGAATTGCTACCAGATCTATCATTCCCATCGAAGAATTCAGAATCACTACAATCTACAATCTCCATGACACTGCTATCTGATTTATTACTGAACGATGGAATTGATGCATATGATGGTTTTTTGACTGAGGCGAATGCAGTGGAGGCAAGAACTTGACACATAATTGGTTTTCCTGGTAGGGTAGTACGTTCATCCCATGCAAGAGAATTTGGTCTAAAAAATAAACAGGAGGAAAACAGAAAATAACACAAGAAAAATGTGATATTACGGTTTTATATCAGTTAGAGAACCAGTGAAAATCAGAGAATACTGGACAGCTAGCTGCTTCATCAGTCTAGTTTGGGAATCATAGGCAGTACGCACCCACCGCCAGGGTTCAAACCCAGGACATCCCGGTTACAAGGCAAGGTGGAATACCATTAAGCCACCGAGACCCGATTCAATAGCCATTCTATGAATTCTAACTTCTACCAATTCGTGATTTTAGCCCGAACATCAACCATTGTCGTTGGTGGGACATCCATCCTCACACTTGATTGAATGAACCTCACTGGTCACGACTTCGTCCTGTAGGTTACTAGAGAGCATCAGATTCCCAAACTCGTAAAAAAAAAACTAACCCTTACAAACCAAACTATAGGAAATTAATCTGATGCTCGCTAGTGACTTTCTACAGGATGGAGCTTCCTGGAGTTCTAGTGAGAAATCGTGACCAGTGAAGTTCAATTAGATGTCACATGTGTGAATGGATGTCCCACCAACGACAATGGTTGGTGTTCGGGCTAAAATCACGAATTGGTAGAAGTTAGAATTCATAGAATGGCTATTGAATCGGGTCTCGGTGGCTTAATGGTATCCCAGCTTGCCTTGTAACCGGAAGGTCCTGGGTTTGAACCCTGGCGGTGGGTGCGTACTGCCTATGATTCCCAAACTAGACTGATGAAACAGCTAGCTGTCCAGTACTCCCTGTGGCTGGTTTTCAATGGTTCTCTAGTTGTGATATCAATCCGCGATCAACTCGTAAAATGAACTATACAATGAACCCGGTTGGGAGGGGGGGGTCGAAAACACCATCGATACTCATTAAAAATGGATCACAGTGAACAGCTTAGAACTCGTTTAGCACAGAGAAACCATGATCTGATCACATTATCATTTACGACTCCTGGTGATTTGTGTAACAGCACAGCTACAATCCAGCATTGCTGGGGTATAAGTGTTCTCATACTTGCGGCTTGGTAGACCCAATGATACATATGTTCTCATCAAAAACTTTAGAAATCTATCTAGAAGATATGCAGTAATCAAGACGGGATTGAAATTTAGTTGATAAGTTTCCAGGAAAACTGGTTGTTGCTTTTTTCGTTTGGTAAGGAAGGAGCATGCCTCGGAAATTAATCGGGGAACCCCACAAACACATATTAATTCACAAATACTCTCATAAGAGTTTTACAGAATTAACAATATTTCTAATAGAAAATTTACAAGAAATCAGGCGTTTATGAATATCGCACAATAATTCGTGTGTTTTATAACTTACGAAACTCAAATAAATAAAGCGCATTCAAAGCTACAGTTACAATCACCTAACAACAATTCAGAGTGTGTCTTTTTTGATAGCCAGCCGCCTAGCATGGTGTGCCACATTGCAAACTTATTTGACAGGATTCAGTCTGTCAGCCTAGCGAAGAACTAGACGCATAAGACTACCAAGCGTACAATGAAAGCATCCGTTACAGTCCTATAAAAAGTTTAGTCGCGAGTCTTAATAGCTCTGTGACAACTGCAGCAGTTGGTGACCAGGGCTTGAATCTCAAAAAGGACACGACTCTCTCTTCAAAATTGCAGATACGCTTTTCTGATGAGTGCTAACAATCACGACGTCAACTACGTCATGCAAGGCTTACTGCCGACTGCCACGAACCACGGAACAACGTGGAAACCTTGAGTACATCTAACAGAAAGGCAAAAGGACATTCTCATAATTGGAGTTGCCACTACTGTGTGTTTGGTTGGTTGGTTAAAATTAGTTACAAAGCTATGACTCGCATACATATTGTGCGAGAGCTGGTGATAACACTCAAATGCTCAGACTGAAGGAGCCGGTGGTAGCTGGAAGTTGAATGCTTTACATTACTGCGTAATTCTTTCAGTTGATACACCTCATAACAGAAAGCAAACATATATCAAAATGCTAAACAGTCATATAATTTCATAAAACTCCTGATATACATTCTCGTAAGATAATTCAAATTCAAGAAGTTCCAAGGAATGAATACTACTCAACACCATATAGGCCACAGAGATTGAGAACGATGAGTTGCACAGAAATTAAACTTAAGAAATCTTCATATTCCCACAAATGTTTAGTTTTTTTTTCTTTCCTTCACGTTCCCAGTGGAAAATATGGCGCCTTTAAGCTAGTGGCTTGAAGTTTCTGTAGCAGTGGTTAATTTTACAGGATGAGGTTGCTAGCCTCGTGCCCAACCTTTCCTCTTCACCAGGATTATTTCTGGTTTAGCGAGGTAAAGGAGTGCGCCGGCCGGGGATTGAACCCCGGACCATGTGCATGGTTGGCGAGCGTCCTAACCGCTGTGTCACCGACGCACACAAATGTTTAGTAAACGCATATTATTACAGACGCTTTCCATCAATATCAAATACTGATTGTATTTTGTGTATGTGTGCAGAGGAAAATAGACTCAGTTATGCAGATAAACTAATGCATATCACTGAAAGATCAGAGGATCACAGAAGTAAAATCTAAACATTATATAAAAATAAATGCTTCTAGGAGGATAGGGCAGAGCCTTCGAGTGGTTGAACCACAGGATGATACTGAATGCCGTTTTGGTCTTGCAAGAGGCTGGGATGAATTTGTTCAATGTGAGCTATCCCCATAAACGACTTCGTACAGTCGACCATGAGTAGAATTAAGTCTGCTTTTTGAAATGCTCTCAAGTAGTCACATGTTCATAGCCTCTACCAGGTTAAGTCCTATTCATCATTGCCTTCACACAACAAGGGTGGTTCTTCATATAAGTGAAAGGACAAATGCGAATGTCGAGAACTTACAACCATAGTGGTGGCCATCCAGGTCTACCTACCTAGGAGAGCTAAAATAAACCCTGATTTCCAACCTATGGTGTACATTTACATCTATTATTCCCTTAGGTTCAAGGAATACAGGGCTTCAACAACACATCTTCACTTTGTTCTATTTTTTGCTGTCCTCTTTAGCTGGGTCCACGGTTGCCCATAATCTCTCATCTCCTCCTCCCCATACGATCTCCTCCGTGTCATCCTCGCACCGACGACCCACTCGTCGTTTCCCATTCGAGTTCCACTTGAGCGACGGCCTGGCACGCGATGTCATTCAACAGCCTCCTCAGCGCATACCCTATCCATCTCCATTTGCTCCTACATATTTGTTGAGCAATTGGTTTAGAGTTCTTTTTGTTGCTAATTCTCTTCTTCTCTCTTCTAGAGTCTTCTCATCGGAGGTCCAGCGTACTCCTGTCTCCTCATTACCCACAGTCTGACGCATAATCCAGTCCACTTCAGTTAAGAATATCATCGGTGATAATAGACAGCCCTGTCTTACTCTTATATGCACTTCGAACGCCTCGCTGAGTTTTCCGTTGTGGATCACCTGACACGTGACATTGTCATTGCCAATTGTAGAATGAGGTTGACAAAGACTTGGGCACTGCACGCCGTAGTGTTGAAGTAGTTTCCAAATTATGTATCGGTCAAAGCTGTAGAAGGCCTTTTCGAAGTCGATAAAGTTGAGATAGGGAGAGGTTTGACTGCCCTTCTATACTTTGTTCGATGACGATGCGTTCCTTCCTTCCAAACCTTTTGCAATAATGGTGTGAGCACACATCTGCCGCAGTCTCTGCGTCTATGGTGTACATAGGCTACACAGAATCCGACCAAATCGAATGTTGTATCAACCTATTTTTGTCACAACAAATGATGGGAATGTAGGTCGTTCTTTGACTCTGTTACACTACCTAGTGGATCAGACTCCATGTGAAAGGTTCGCGAGGAGCTGGCCCCCTAAAGACAACAACCACCACTTGCTTCGGCCTGAACATCCGGGTAGTATCCTAGCCCTCGGACAGACTATGAGATTTTGTGTAGCGCACATCATTGTGTAGTCCCCCCCCTACAATGTATCGCCTTTGTGTTTTAATCAGTAATATAATAAAATAGACAGGCTTACTTATTTTGTTCATCAGCTTGTTCATAATCCCGTAGTAAATTCATTTTTTCAATTAATGAGAAAAAGTCTTGTTTACTGTGTTCCAGGATCATGATAACTTCCTGAAAACAAAGAAAAAAAAAACAGAAATTCATGTGAGTAAGGTATAATTTCGGGTGAGAATAACCACAAAATAACCGCTTATCAGACAAGATATATCATATTGTAACAACAGAAGACAAGGGTCAGGCAACAGATCATCTATATGCTAACTGTATCCGCCTACGCAAAGTCTTTGTTCCTGTTTTTCTCACGACCAATATTGGGGACATAAACACATTGACGTAAATTACTGTCTACCAATTTCGGCTAGCAGGCAGCTCTCACCACACTCATCCCCTCGTCAAAGACTTGCGACTGAAGTTGGTTTGGTCTTCTTGGTTCTAGGGGCTTTGCTCGTTTTTCTTGCTGTCTGGAATCTCGGCGCTTGCTGTTCATCTGTTTCTTTGTTTACCATTGCGACTGTGTCTGCGTAACCCCATCTCAACGTGACCATATGTGGTCCTTCCCACTTTGGAGGCTATTTGCCTGCCCCTGTCGCACATTCGTCTGTATTTCGCCTCACAGTTTCATATGCTGCTTTCTCCCGACCTCCCAGCAGCGTCCCAAGTAACAGCCTCATCGCGAACAGATCTGGAATGCCACTCAACTGCGCAGAAGCCTCGAAGTCCTGCTCGAAGATCCATATGTCTCCATCGAAAGCTGCAGGGCACAGGCTCTCCATTTGTCGGTAGGCAGCGACACCAAATGTAACAACAGAATGCAAGGGCCAGGCAACAGATCATCTATATGCTAACTGTATCCGCCTACGCAAAGTCTTTGTTCCTGTTTTTCTCACGACCAATATTGGGGACATAAACACATTGACGTAAATTACTGTCTACCAACTTTGGCTAGCAGCCAGCTCTCACCACAATATTACATACACATAAGTCAGTAAAAATTGCTCACCTTGCATTCCACTTCATTCTCGTCAGTTTCACACGCTGAATAGATTTCATCTATAGTTCGCCTTAAAGTATCTAACATTTGACCCCAATAACGTGCTTTATATTCACTTTCAGTGAGAGGTTTCCTATATAATAGAGCTGTTGTTGGTTTTGTTGTTGAAGTAAGCCGCCGACAATGACGAGATTGTGCTGGGCAAACAGTTTTCGAGTTGGTGTTTGATATTAAACTGACAGAATGTGCATCAGACTTTGAATGTTCTTCATGAAATTTATTCGTATACAGACTAATTCTATTGTTTATGATTTCCGGAATGTCGACAATAGAAGATAAGGATGACCGACGACTTCCACCTTCTTTATGTGAAGATACAATACTTGCCGAGGTCATTCTGTCATTCTCTGTATCATCAGCCATCATCTTTGGAACAATTTCAGATGAAGACAGACTGAAATCACATTTTCGTGTTTGACGTTTAGCTAAAAAGCAAAAGGTTAAGGATTATTGTAAACAAAAATTTAAAGTATGCGTTATGTGAAAGGGGGTAGGTAATAATTGAAAAGGTAGCATACTATATGCATGACACCTCAATACTATGGTGTATATGAGTTAATATTTAAACTTGAGATTCACAAAATTAAATGTTGCCTGTATTAACAACTGATCTAGTAAATAATAACTTAAAATATGCTTATATGCAACATCTAACCACTTGAAACACATTTCTAAGACTGACTGACTGACTGACTAGTTTTAACGTAAAACTTTGCACAGATGTGCAGCAGTTCAAATTGCCAAACTCCCTCCATGTACCACACAAAGCAAGAGAAGAGAGTAAAGAGAAGTTCAAAAGAGAGATAATAAACAGAAATGCGAGTCAAAAAGAATGGTAATATGGAAGGACAATAGAGTTTTTTTAGGTATGACAAATCACAAAGAGTGGATGCATCTGCACCAGCCATCAACAACGATTTCAAGATATATCACCAATTGTCTCTAGCCTTCATTGGTCGGTTGATAGAACCCCGAGGACCCCAACCAGCCAGCCTGGAAGTCTACACCTCGCTACATGGCGGCTGGCTGGTTTAAACTAACTGTTGTGAATTTCATTGACTGATGAAGCCATGTTTTGGTTTGGCCATCACTAGCTAACTCTTTTCCAACCTGACCCATCCTATATCAGTCAACAATGCCCGTTGATCGAGAAAGACGATGACTAGTCTAGACTAGGCATGCGTAACACATGTCCTAATCATCTCTCTCAATCGGTGTAACTTCACAACCTCGTCGACTGATTTTCTCTCCCACCCACCTACCTAGCACTCGACCGATGCCTAACCTAAATATTGCTCACCTTATTATACCACCTAACATGGGAGATAAAACGCAGACACCTACGGTGAAAGACAGTTGGCTAGCCTTTTCGTATCTTCCACTTCCAATGGCCATGTCTCGCTCACAGCCAGCCATAAAGGAGGACAGAGCGAAATGACTGCTGAGCACTACACAAGCCCTCTGGTCAATAGCCAGCCGGATATCACATCTACGCCAGATATAGCGTGAGTTGGCATGTGCCAAGCGAACCTCCTGTATACGTGTTCATTAATCGAAGTCTTTTAAGGCAGAGTTTGTAGGAGGTTTGAATTACCACCCTAATTCCTGCTTTATTGAGAAACCTACGTAGGGTCTCTGATGTCCCATCCTCACATAGCTAATCAATTTTTGCTCACCTATTTGTGCTATGTACAAGAGCATGATCTAAGCTCACGTAAATGCTCTATTACCACTTAGATTTATATAATTGTCTTCTGTAACGACAATGCACAACAACATAACTTGATTCAAATGAACTGTCGTCAAGATTTGACAGAATAGTTCTAAAATATTTGGGCGCCGAGTGAGAAGTAGACATTTGTAAAAAAATTATATTTGTAAAATCTCAGCGAGATTGAAATGAGTAATTCCAACGTTTCGTTCGGCAATCTGGTCCGAACTTCTTCAGGGAAATTAATCGAAATTAACATAACAGGGGTTTATATATAAAAGGAACATCACTTGTTTTTGAAGAACTTCGTCCAATCATGAGTCATTCAACAAGTATAATAAACAAAATTTTATGAGCTGTGATCAAAATTTGACCTCGGACTTACAAATATTGCTCTAACTTTGTTAAACACATTAAACAGAGTGTGTATGTGTGTGTGTGTGTGGGTAAACAGTTGTAAAACATTTCTTAACGTTTCCATAAGAAGATATGGACAGTCGAGAATTTTGACCAAGTACTAATAATTAGTGATACATATCCATTTTTTATTTATTAATAAGGATTTCCTATGCATCAGCTAACATCACACCTTCATGTCTGTTCACACTGTTAGTAGCCAGAATTTTATGATTAGACGTATTTTCAAAATTATGGTGTTTAGGATTGGAGTTTAGTAGAAGCACCCTGTCGAACTTATTGCATTGTCTTCTTTCTGAAGATTGAGCTGCTTTATTCGACCTAATGGAGTTGTCAGGTGACTCGACAGCTACGGATTTAGGATATGCATTCTGTTGTAGACAACGGAGAGCGAAAACACGATGATCTTCACGATAATCATAAAATTCTAGCTACTAACAGTGTGAACAGACATGAAGGTGTGATGTTAGCTGATGCATAGGAAATCCTTATTAATAAATAAAAAATGGATATGTATCACTAATTATTAGTACTTGGTCAAAATTCTCGACTGTCCATATCTTCTTATGGAAACGTTAAGAAATGTTTTACAACTGTTTACCCACACACACACACACATACACACTCTGTTTAATGTGTTTAACAAAGTTAGAGCAATATTTGTAAGTCCGAGGTCAAATTTTGATCACAGCTCATAAAATTTTGTTTATTATACTTGTTGAATGACTCATGATTGGACGAAGTTCTTCAAAAACAAGTGATGTTCCTTTTATATATAAACCCCTGTTATGTTAATTTCGATTAGTTTCCCTGAAGAAGTTCGGACCAGATTGCCGAACGAAACGTTGGAATTACTCATTTCAATCTCGCTGAGATTTTACAAATATAATTTTTTACAAACATAACTTGATGTTGGCATCTACTAGATAGGTGACAGAATAGCTGTCTTTAAGTTGGAAGTAGGTTCTTGGTAATAATAAAGTGCTTATCAGAGCATAACTGTAGGTCAAGAAATGTTTTGTTGCATTTTTCACACTTTAGAGCTGAGCTAACGAAAATGTACACATAATCAACCTATTGAGGCAAAAATTAACAGCTTTGAGTAACGTTCCCTTAGAATTACATCCGAAAGATGCTTTGAATAGACCTGTAGATAAGCATAAATATTTTAAACATTCTTCCAGAATTAATGCACAGATGCAACTCCCATTTAGGATATAAGTTAAGAAGCGGATTCTCAGCATGATGTATGAAATACACTATGATGTTCATACATTGACTGTTTGGAACTAATTTCAAAGCCTATTTGAGGCTGGATACTTACACTAATGAACTAAATTCTCGACATATTAATACAACTGACTAACTGAGCGAGTTTCAGGGTAGGACTTAATGGATTTTGACTGGAACAGGCTGGATTCAGGCAAAACAAGTCATGCATCGATAAAATCGCAATACTACGCATCATCATTGAACAGAGCTAGCTTGGAATGGTAGTCAGCTCTCTACCTCGCTCAACTTGATTGACTTTGAAAAGGTCTTCGACAGACAGCGTCGATCGAGAGGTGATTTGGCAACTACTTCGCTACTACCAAGGGGTGCCGCCAAATATTATACATCTCATCCAACAGTTGTACGGCAATGCTGCACGACAAGTAATCCACAACGGGAAACTCACGGAATCCTTCGAAAAAGTGAAGACGGGAGTAAGACAAGGCTGGTTGGCTGCCTACTATCTTCAATGATTTTCTTGATTGCGGTAGACTGGATAATGCGACAGACAGCGGGCCGGGCAGCGAGGAGACAGGCATAAAATGAACCCATACAAAAAACTTGGAAGGTCTGGATTTCGCAGATGTGATATATGTCTGATTTCCCACAAACTGGAAGATATGCAAGTGAAAAGCAACAAGTTCACAGAAGAAGCATCAAAGATAAGCCTTCAGGTAAACACAGAAAACAGAGGTGATAAAGATTCCTGGACAACAGCAACAACAACAACAGACAACAATCAGCATAAATGAGAGAAATCTGAAAGAAGCAACCTCCTTCACCTACATAGCTACCTGGGAAGCATCATTTCAACTACAGGCAGACGGGAACTGATGAGAATATAAAAGCAAGAATAGGGGAAGCAAGACAAGCTTTCATTACTCTCAAGTCTGTGTGGAGATCAACAGCACTACACAGTATGGAAAATAACATCCGGATTTTCAACTCCTATGTAGTCACTAATACTTTAAGGATCACAGAATTGGCGCCGCGTCACGAAAGGCACTTCGAACAAACTACAAACTTTCATCAACAGCTATCTTTGCTTAATACTACTCAAGATCAGATGGTCGGGCAGAAAAGATCAGCCACAGGGATCTCTGGCAATGAGCGAACCAACCCAACAGGAACCAATTGTGCAACGAATATGCAGGAAGGAATGGAGGTGAATTTGTGGCCGTGCTCTGAGAAACCAAACCATCAAGTGACATCACACACCAGGCTATTGCTCGAGTGGAACCCGAATGGAAGGCGGCGAATTGGTCGTCCAAGGGTGACATGGAGGAGATCGAGCGAAGAGGAGATGAAAGCATGTGAGCAGACGTGGAGCCAGGTGAAAACATTAGCAGAGAAGCGAACGCAATGGAGACGTGCAGCTGAAGCCCTATGTTTCTCTAGGAACTAAAGGAAACAATAATAATAACAATATCCCAACCAAACAATCCTCAACTCCTCACGTGGCTGGCTCAGTCCAACAGTTGGAGACTTCATAAATTGATGTGAAGTTTTGATGAGAACCCCCTCACTCTTTTCTAACATAATCCTACATCAGCTAATATTGCTCAACGAGAAAGGTGGTGATTCGACATGTGTAATACTTCTTCCAGTCATGTCAACTGATTTACCCTCACAACCCTATAAGTTGACATGTCCTCCCTAAGTAAGAATACATCCTGTTACACCACTTAACAGAGGAGACAGAACTCTAACATCTGTGCTCAAAGACAGCCAGCTTCTGTAGGTCATCTATTTCCAATGACCATATCTCATAGCCATAGAGGACAAAGCGAACTGCTGAGCAGTATATACGTCTTTCGACGGATAACCAGATATGATGTCTACGCCAGAGATGACGTAAGGTGGTAAATGTCACACGAGCCTTTTGTATCCATGCTGAGATTTCGTCAGTAATCAATCCATCACGGTTAATGCAACTTACCTAACAAGTGAATTGGTTAATTTGCTCAACCAGTTCACTCCTTGTCTATAAACTACGAGTCGATGCGGACCAGTCCTGACAAGGGTGAATAAAATACCGAACATACCAAGACTTCTGCCTAAGGGATTCAGAGGACTGTGTATTTTGTCGCCATATTAGTGCACAAAAATAAATAATGGCAAACTAACATATATTAGGACTGTCTAAATTTGGCAACTAGCCAAGAAAAAAAGATAAATGACAACTGATTAAGGATTATGAAGGTAAAACTGAGCATATGAAAAATATCATGATAAAACTCACAAGGACTAGGATTATCAACAGGTACACTATATTTGATTATATTTCGTGCTTGTACACCTTCATCTTTAATTTTACTTCTTATCCATGATGAAACATTACAACACTAAAAATACAAAAAGTAGTTAGAGTATTATTCGAACAACCTTCGCCTTTTGATTGCCAGTAAAAGTACACCGACTGTCTGACATTTTCCGCCTGTCTATATACGTTTAGATGTGTGTGTGTGTGTGTGATTAGAAATACACACGCAGAACACAAATAGGTATTTTGGTCAGAAATTCACCATAGCTTTCACAATGAACAGATGGGATTCTAAAATTAATTGAAGAGAAAATATGCACAGTTATCAATATGACAGCATGTCAGAGTTTTAAATTTTAAAAAACATTATATGGATCTGGGAAAGGAAATATTTAGATAAAGCAATAAAAAGACGTAATTTGTCTGAATCGTGTAATTTGCGCAACACATTTCAAACAATCTGATCCAGCACACACGGACTTGTCATAGGACTGCATATATATGAAATTAATAAAGAGTTAAGAGGAGAGAAAATAGACTACTTAGGTCAAGTTAAAATGACATATTCAAGGTCAAAATAACAATGAAGATCACTAAACCACATAACAGAGGTAATAGTACATCTGCTATGGTGTCAAAACAAAATTTACCAAGGAAGGTTTAATGTGATGACGAATTGTTTTTGAACACATAAACGTGGCTTAAACTTTCTAATTGCTAGGGCTTCCACAAACTTAAGGATACGCCCCAAACACGTTTTATAGATAGGTTTAAAAGATCTGTTAACGTCAATTTTATGTCCTGTCTCCTCTGTAATATGTTTCGCAATAGAAGAGCTAGGTCTCCTGTTCTCACCGTTAATAGGTTCTGGGGATTCCATTTGTTTCTGGAGCCATTTAGGAATATGCTCTGAAGCCAGCTCTCACTTGCAGAGATCGATGAGTCCTCCCTATGTATGTGTGTCCACACGTACATTCAAATTGGTAAATACAGTGGGATGTGACTTCATTTTTCGCATGTTCAAAGGACTTAGATGGTGGATATATTCGCTTCACATTCTCAATTATTATGATATTAGCTGCATAAAAAGTCTTTTTAACAGCAGCGTTAAGTCTTTGTCTAGTTATCAAGCTGCTTTGATGCCCCATATAGGGTAGCTTGATGTACACGTCTTTCTCAGGGGCGAGTTGGAGAGTGGGTCTTGGTGTTTTGACTACTTTATATCTCCTGATGAACTTGTTTGGATAACTGTTATCAACCAGAGTTTGTGTCAACTTTCTTTCTTCCTCATCATCAAGTGTGTCTTCAGTGCATCTTCGTCGGATTCTACTGAAGAGGCACCTCGCTCACTTAGGCTCTTTTGTACCGAATAGGGCAGAAACTGTGTAATAATTAAGATACTGTCCTGTCCAGGTAGGTTTTCTATAAATAGACCTTTTTATTGACACATCAAGCCGTCCGTTGACTAAGCAATATGTCTAGGAAAGATAAACAATTATCTTCCTCTCCTACAGATGCAAGTGATATGCTATTCTGAACTTCAGTCATTCGATTTAAAATTTAGGTGGCAGAACAAGACTTATCACTGATGATTACAATATCATCTACATACCTTCTATAAAGTGGCACATTTTCGATTAAATCCTCTGATAAATTCTCAATGTACGACATATAAATATCTGCTAAAAGGAAATATTATTGCTGTACTTTCATGAGGTCGGTAATGAGCCATACACTCATTTTGTGCTAGGGCTAATGATACTGACTGAAAGAATGAATTTAAACAGAGAATTCTGCACAGAAGTTCAAGTTGCTACACTCCATTTAGTACACAAAGATTCAAAAGAACGATAAAAAACAGAAAATTGAAGAAGAAAGAATAACAACATAGAAAAACAATAGGGTTTAATTGATATGAGAGACCACAAGGGGTGAATGTATCTACTACAACTGAGAAAGATTTTCAGCTATCTCACCAAAAGTCTTTAGCTATTGGCTCTTAGTATCGCAAAGACCCGAACCAGGCAACTTGCACCTCCGTACATGGTTCCAGTCGACTGTCGGACTTCATAGACTGATTCCAGCTTTCGGTTCGACTACCCCTAATACTTCTCCAATCCTATGTAATCCACCTGGATGCCTAAACCTTGGTAGATAGAGATAAACTCGAACTCATGTCTTAGTGGTTAAAAATAGAGCATGTAGATTAGTCAGGGTTAGTTCTAGATGATAAACTATACAGTTTTTCTGCCTTATTACATCCGTCACGATTCGATATCCCATTAGACATATGATTATTTTAGGCCTCACCTATTCATAGGGGAAAAATACACAAACTTTGGGGTAGTAAGTAAATTCTGCCGTGAGATTAATGGGGACTGAATTCATACGTATACGTCTTTGTATTTCAGATATTAAGAGGCACCTACTGCACCACGTATGCTATTTCATGACCATTCAAACTTGTCTAAGTTAAGGTCTGAATCAGTGACTCACAAGTCAAGCTGAAATGACAATCCATTTACGTAATCATATATAATCCTTTAAGCCATCACGTCCCTTGTAAATAACAAGGATTACGACGTAATCACTCCCAACAATTTGTTAATAGCCAGTTAGGATAAAACAGGTGTTAGTACAATATCATAAAGGGCTCTACTAGTGGCCAGTACCAGCGCAGAGATTACTTTACCTACCTTTACTCTTTGTTTTCTGTCACGTTACTAATCTTTAGACTACTCTTGTGTATTATTTTTAACACAAAAACCTGTAAACTTCCTTGTGAGCTAAACACTACTAAATGTTTTAGAGAAATCAATAAGCACCAAATGAATGGACACTTCTTATCTGGTTCGTAGTAAATCCGTCAAACATACTTGTCAAGGGCGAAAGTCGACATGTCCCTCCTAAAACAAGGCTTGAATCATGGAATGAACGTCATTTTTCAGAAAATCTAAGCAGACGTTAACTAAAGCATGGTAGCAGCACTGGTTAATATGCCACAAAACATAGTCGAACAACAATACAGAAAAAACGGAAATGAGACGGTTGGAGAAGAAGAGGATGACAAGCAATAGCAAAAATATCCTATTGACCAAGACTGGTGAGAGAGTTCCCTATTGATAGAAAAAATGCTAAGGTAACTTCAAAATCTGTCCGGAAGATGTCGAACACTAAATCCAGGACTACTGCTATATTTTGTTTACAATGTCCCAGCTAACGAAGAGCAGTTTCATAAAGAGCTACAAGTACACAGAAGCCATAAGGCAACCGACTGGAACAACTTACCTTACCTTGTTTCTTTTGAAGATGGTAACAAGACCAGATCGCCTGGAAAGGCTTGGAAAATCTAGTATCGTACTAATCACTAATGAGACCACTATTGTACCCAACTATAAGAAGAGACTACAATTCCCGTATTAACCTGCCACCAGTTTTGTAAGGAAAAGACTACTGATGTAATTTACAGACTTCGTGAAACATGCAGGGAAATTGCGAGGATCGGCCCATGAATGCGTCAATTACGAGCTTACTCTCCGGTAGTTTCTAGTACATAGTTGTACGTACTGCAGACAAACAATCGCTGTATTCAGATTACGACACAACACAGTATGGTGCAATTTTATTTAGTCCCATAATACTAAGGCTTTTCTTTCTGTTGCTTTTTCACTAAATATATGTACAGAATCAGTCATTTAATACAGATGAAGAGACGGAACAAAAACTCGCAGAGCTGTACACGCCTTCAACAAACTGTTCATGATCATCATGATTAGGAGAGAAACAGGCTGGATCTTACACACTTGGATGTCACACATAAGAATTTACCCTCGATTAGGCCAATAATAGTAATGGAGTTTAGCGTTATTGAACTACACTAGGTCTTTTTTTAACTAGAAACGTAGGCTACTTTGTTTGCATAGATACTTACAGACCATCGTACATCTTTAACATACAGATGGAGAAAACTGTCACCATTTTTACTCTTATGAGTAAGTGTAAGAGACGTTTTGTTTCAAACTTAGGTTTAACGAATCACAGCACACAGCAATATTACACTGGCAACATGTATTTTTATAAACACCAATAATATACAGCACAGTTAAATATGTGCCAGAAATTACCACTTAGAAATGGCAAACAACACTTCTGCATTTCTCCTGCGAAAAACAATTATTTTTGAGTACATTACGTTATTTCTGTTTTCCTGACAGCCCAGTTAGCGCTGCGACCGTCACTTACTTTGAAAGCGCGCCTACAAAAGTCCTATCGAGACCAAACTTCACGTGACGTAATGAAACGCCAGAGTTCTCCGAAACACCAAATATTTACGACGACGAGATTGTGACCCTCAGGTTCTTTAGTTATTACTTAGTAATTTTAAGTACTGGTATACTGTCTTTAGTGAACTCTATTGTAGAAGTTAAGTGTATATCACACTTCAGTCGACCCATTATTTCATCCAGACATTAAGTGTCTATATGGGATGAAAGAAGTTCATCCATTCAATTAAATCTTAGCCATTTCGCTTTCAACGGCGAATTCCTCTGTATGCAGTGACTGGATCCGATTGAGGACAATTTGGTTTTCAACGAACAAGGGCGCAGGTGCGCATCGTGGTGTGATTGTATATGGCTGTACTCTCTTCATACCACCGTTAATGAACACATAATTAAACAGCAGCAAGAATTATATTCCCACTTCTGTAGTTGTAGAGGTGTTACGAACAACCTGTCCACCAGGCTAGGTAGGCCAGGCTAATGAGAAAGCAGGCAGTGTGGCCGAAGTTCAGGTCTAGCAGGATAGATGGTCATTCAACAATCATGAGAGTTGCTTCGAGTTGAAGCCAATAGGAAGCGAGGTCAGAGCCATTTAGGCGGCCTAAATGACCAGGTTCCTAGATATCCACATTCTGTCCCTTAATGTGCAGCTATCAATACTGAGACCACAAAGACTTTGGGCTCGAAATCAGAAATTATTTTTCGTACTAATTTTGTACTCAGCTTGAAGGGCAGACTCAGTAGACGATATCATATATATAATATATATAATATATGCCAAACTCACTGCTCCTCATCCAATATCCTTTCTATCACCTCTTATAAACCTTGTGAATGTAGGGACTCTATATCTCACAGGACTCACAACTCAGGCAGTAAATAAGTGTCCAAATTCTTCACTGCCTGCTAGGTTTCTTTTTTCCATTTCGTTGTATTGAATGACAAAGCTTCCCCGCCTCGCCTGCTTACGAGGCACAGGTTCAGTATCACCTGCTCTCTTTGGACTCTATA